TTAACACCTTCTACCGTCTTTTAAAATTGTATTGTGGTTTAGTGACGCAGCCAAAGCGCATTTTATGGTGTGGTCTGGTTGCGTAAAAGGTAATTTTTTATTTAAAAAAAAAAAATAGAAAAAGTGTTATGATGTATGATTGAAAAACAAAGATTTAGACGCTAGTGCCAATCAATGTGAAGAGATGCTGCGTTAAACGTTCGTCTGTGTATGTTGTGTGTCGCATATGTACATATTTTTTGTCTCACCGTCGCCATTTTTAATCAGTCGTTTTCGCTGGATTTCTATGGCACTATATGCATCTCTTTTTCTCATTTCATAGAATTAGCGTCGCGTGATGCAGTGTTGAAAAGCGCGCCGCAGCTGCAGTAAATAAAAGGCCAACGTATGATAAAAGATCATTTTTTGGGCATAAGCGAATAATAGGCACCATGGAAGACCTTACCAAAAACATAATCTTCACAAATGCCATTAATGGGCAACCGGCCACAATTCAGTACCAAACGGCGGATGGCACCATTCTTAAACAGCCCAAAATAGAGGGTCAAAAAACAGAGCAGCAGCCTACCTTCTATTATACGACAAATGTAAGTACTTTATTTACTATATGTAAATGGGGGCTGACTTCTTCATATTGTCTTCACATAGGGCAATGGCGGTACCGTCAATCTCGCTCAGCTGGCCACAACAGACGACAATAAGACGTGCTACATAGCCCAACCAGTGGGCGGCTACAACTACGCCCTGGTCAACGGAATGCCTCTCAATCAGGGTGCAGCTCTTGGCATCGCCACGGTAGACGCACAAGGCCGCATCCAGATAGTTAATCAAAACAAGCCAATTGCAGCTGTATGTAAAAAAGTTCTCCTTCATCAGAGCCTAATGCATTTCTTTTTTGCAGAACACAATATCCAACATCAGCTTTAAGTGTGACGTCTGCTCAGATATGTTTCCTCATTTGGCACTGCTCAATGCTCATAAGCGGATGCATACAGACGGGGAACAGCAGCAACAGCAGCATAATACCCAATCAGGCGGTGATTCTATTGCCGTGGTCAGCGCGCAGGGGCTTGTGCAGGCACAGAACATCATTGGAAATGGCCAGATGGGTCAGATACAGATTGTGTCTTCTGACACGCTGGAGCCGGTTCAGCAATCTGTAATGCAACAGCAGCAACATGAGTCAAAAGCCAGCAAGTGCATAAATTGCGGAAGCTCTATACTGCAGCAGTCCAAACGCAAAGGTCCAAAGCAGGTGCGCTGCGAGTCCTGCATGCAGGCTGAACAAACGGCGCAGCAGCAACAACAGCTCTTCGTCGCGCAGGACGGTAATTGTAAAGGTTTATCTGTCAAATGGACCATAACTAAATTCCTCTTTTGCAGGTCAAATGGCGCATCCAGTGCAAATCATATCCACGACTCCTCAGGCCCAAGCACAACTGCAGCAAATTGTGGCTGCACAGACTGGCGGTACGACGCCAAAGCGGGAGGCGAGCAGTGGGTCTGGCCACCATCCTGTGAAAAAACGAAATTCCCAGCAGATGACCAAATGCCAAAAATGCAATGGTTCTGGAGTGGTGCTATTGGGGCAGCACTCACACGCTTCGCACAGCGGTGTGGGCGGATCGGTAAAGCAATCAGTTACTGTTAAAACTGAGTGAGTATAAATGGAATTGCAACCCAATCCTACGCTAACAAAACCAAGGTGTTTGTCCTGCAGAAATCCGTCAAAACCCTTCAGTTGTAATATATGCGGTGGTCTGTTTTCACGATACTCAAGTCTGTGGTCCCATAAAAAGCTGCACAGCGGTGAAAAAAACTACAAGTGCAGCATCTGTGGGCTGGCCTTTGCTAAAGCCGTTTATTTGAAAAACCACGCCCGTATCCATACGGGCGAGAAACCCTATAAGTAATACCAATCTTTTAGTTGTTGTTGATTTCATTTTACTAATTGCGTTAACTTTATACAGATGCCAAACCTGCGGCATGCAGTTCTCACAGTCACCGCATCTCAAGAACCATGAACGCACGCATAGTGGCGAGCGACCCTATGTATGCGGTGTTTGCGACAAAGGCTTTGCGCGCCACGCCACTCTTTGGAACCATAGGCGCATTCACACGGGCGAAAAGCCATACAAGTGTGAAATTTGTGGATCTGCCTTTTCTCAGGCGGCGCACCTTAAGAACCACGCAAAGGTGCACTCCGGAGAAAAGCCCTACAAGTGCGAAATTTGCACTGCGGCGTTTGCTGATCGTTTTGCACTCAAGCGTCACCGAGGTATACACCAAAAGTACGGCCAAACAGGGCCTCGTCAGACCAGTAGCGATGGGATGATAGTGCACAAGCAGGAGATTCCTGACATGGAGGATGAGGCCCAACAGGAAGTGATCATTGGTGGGTTATAGATAGCTTAAATGAGAAGGTTACAGGCAGCTTCTCGAAGTCACAAACACTGGAGCCCACCCTGTTCAGCTTCAGTTTATCGAAGGTTACTATGATCAGCTGCCTCCAACTATGCTAGCCCCAGAACCATTACCAAGGGCACATTCTCACCACAAAGATATTTAAAAAACAAAACAAACGATGTTTCATCGGTAACACTTCAGCTGCATATTTTCTTTCTCCACTTTCATGTGGGATCTTCAAAAATGGGCGAAACCCAAAAACGCTTTTTACGTTAAGCATACAAATAAACTTAATTTATTTGGTAGCTTGTATAATATACTTAAACATCTTTAAACATAAAACGCATTAATGTATAGGCATCGTATTTTTAAGTGTTATAGGCTATTCTCTTATACAAATTGTAGGTGTAAAAATGGATTTACGACCAAGTCCGATACGTATGAATATGCACAGGTAATAGCACACACATATAAGTTGAAAGTTATAAGCTTAAATATATTTTGATTAAATGTATGTAAAATAAGTATGTATTAAATAATGCATAAAATCAAATAAATATTTGAATAAAATACAATTTTTTAATAACCTACACCAAAAGCAAGTGCATTAACCTAGAATTCAGAGGGATCCCAGAAATGAGAACTATTTTACTGTCTTATAAATTATTTTAATGTAGATAAGCAAATAGTTTTTAGTTCGAATTTATTTTGTTAGTGTTTTATCAAATTCATTTTATTCCTACGTGTAGGTCAGTTAATTTGAATTTTGGTTATGTATGTATATAATAAATAAATAGACGAAACTTTAAATATTCATATACATAAAAGAGTAAAATAAACAGATAATGTGAACTACTGGCTGTCTTTCCAACAATTTTTTTCGTGTTAAAGTTGATTTGTAAAATGAATGCGTTATTTCAAACTACTTATTTATATATTTTCGTATGACTTTTTAAATAAATTAGTATGAGATATGTTGTAAGGATATGAAGTGGCAACGTATTTTTTTTTTTTTACGAAAAACAAGGTTTTAAAATATATAACTCATAGTTAATATTATTTGGAAATAAGCTTCCTTTGAATTATTATAATTTGCATTGTGTAAAGTTGTGTAGGTTAGTTATTGGAGAATTTTTAATGCATATATCGTGAATTGCGTATCCCATCGAATACGTATTAACGAATATGGATCCTGCTATGGTACCGTTTTTGAAATTGCAAACCATATAATCATAGATTATTCAAGAATGAATATATTTTGGTTACACGGCAGGCATGCATGCAATACGCAATTATGTATGTATATTCAGGATATGGTCCACGGTTTATTTTTTATAATTCAGCTTCTACTTAAAAAACTAAAATCGTTACAAGGCTACGTTTTTTACATTTGCCCATGGGCTTTGCAGCTTGGTAGAGTCCTTCATTTTTGTTCTAGCTATATTGAAGACATAAGTATTTACCTATGCAAATATTGGTGAATTTTGTATATTTATGCATTTTATTCATGTAAATAATTTCCTCCTTTCAAAACAAATATTTCTAACGCTTTGAAATGTTCAGAAACAATATAAGCAACGCCTAAAATAAATGCAAATCAACAAAATGTGGATAAACTAAAATTTAAATTAAAAATCAATTTCAATATTTCTTACTTTTAAATTTCAGTATCAGTTTGGATTTATATTTTTTTTTTTAGGAGCAGGAGTGTTAGATTTTGCTCTCACCATTAAACAATAATGTAAGCATGTGATTTTGTAGTAATTTTTTCATTTGAATTTTATTAGTTTATATTTTTTATTTTTGTGAACCGATCTTGGCTATTTGGTATTTCACTCGTAATTAAACATTTTGTATACAGACTAATTAAACAAATCATTTATTGTTCTACCGCCTTCCCTTGTGACAGCTCACCCACTAAATTCTATAAAGGTCTAAAAGTCCTAGCCTAAGCGTCGATCCGGCTGTTATGGAGTCTTGGACAAGACTCAAGTTAAAGTCAAAACAAAAAAGCATTTACATCATACATACATAAATGATTACTTCTCGACATAAACATTAAGCGCAAGTAGCACGGTTTTTACGAAATTTTGTAAATAAATCAGATTTTTCCAATAATTTCTTATTGACGATAAGCCTGTTTTATTTGTTTACAGGATTTTTTAATCTTATCGACTTGATGTATTGGGCAAAAGGCCGAAATACTATTGTCTATTCGTGAATAGTCTTAGTTCGTTCAAGCTTGTAAGATAGTTTGTTGCTATTTTAAAGAACCCTTTTACTTATTCAAAAGCAAATTCCAAAGTAGTACTTTTACAGATTATTGTTTACAGACGATAGCCATTAAAGTTAAATACTGGTTTGATCGGAAGTTTTTTGTTTTATTTTGTTGATACTTTTTTGTTATTTTGAAATTCTGGAGTAGTTTAATCAAAATGTATTTAATTCACAGTCTTCGTAATCAAATACTTTTTATTCACACAAACTTTCAGATCCATTTATGAATTACTTTTCGAGCTAGACATCCCTAAAGTTTAAAATATATAATGGTTTTACTAACTATAAAAAAATAAATTTAATTTTAGTCATAACTTTTTAATGAAACTAATACATTTTTGTTATACATAGTGTACGATGTAGCCTACGTCTTGTACATATGTAGGTCCGCATTTACATTTCCAATAACACTACGATATCTTTTAGTATGCCAAGCAGACTAGGCGTGGCTATATTGGAACATGCATGTTGAATCCTCTCTAGTATTCATGGTTTTCGTGATACAGACGGACACACTCATAAAATGAGTGTGTAATTTCAAAGCTTATAGTGCCATAGTGCCAACAGGTCCAAAGAATACTTTTTTTTTTTAGCTTTTTTAAGACAAACGAAAAAAGAGATAGTGTATTTCCGAGCACTGCGTTATTATAATCAGGAAAATTGTATTACATGTCTAATGCATCTTACATGCGGGTGCTTTCTATGGGACACCCCAAGGTGTCGTTGAACAGATCGGAATGAAAGGAGTGACTGTTGCCAGTGCTTTCCCTCCGAAGCTCTTTTGATTGATTTTTGAACGCTCTTAATCAACTATCTCTGGATGTGGTTTTGAAAATAGGATCTTCGCCTAGCTCCAGTTTCATAAGGGCCGCATGAGATCCTACATCTATGGTAGTAACTCGATTGTCGCCATCCGCTGCTGAGGGAAGCTTCGTATGCTCATTGTCAGTGTACACCGCCATAATGATGCATACAAAGTTTTGGCCAGATTGCGTGTCACGCGGATGCAATGTCACAGGATTGAACTTGTCACTTTGTCCCTCAGAGTACGTTTGCAGGCGCTCGAAGACCTCCGGATAGTGTTTGCTCAGCATGACGCCGCGCCTTGACAAAATGTCCAGAATGTTTGAAAGGATCAGCGATCTATTGCCTTGCTGTCCGGGATTGAAAGTTAAAATGAGGATTTCCGTCCGCTCCGGCAATGCCCCAACAGGTGCCGGTTGCAGGATCGCCGCCTGATGCTGCTCTAGTTCGGCCAGAACTGACTTGCAGAGCTTCAGTTTGGCACAACGACTCACCAGTTGGCGTTCCCAGCGCACAGGAGCCTGCCCCATGCCCGGTGCCTCGGAAACCACGCAAATTGCCACGTAAATGAGCATCTTGGTTTCCGGCTTGTACTCCGTGCTGAGCTTGAGAAGTTCTGAGTATAGCTCTAGGCCCATCTCGGCGGGCATAAGGTCCGGCCAGCGCACGTACGAAGCCTCTCCCATGCACTGGAACCCGTTCTTAATGAATCCTTCCGCCGCCTCAGCACTGCGAAAGAGCACACGCACAACGCCACGTCCCTGAGACAGGCTGCCCTTGCGGGCCAAAAGACTCAGATGGCGATGCGAGTCAAGGTCATCCTTGCACGTGGCCAGCACCTGTCGACAAATGTTAGACGCACGCGAGTGCAGGCACGCCTTTCGATGCTTTTCCCAGTGCGCCCGCCGACACTCTCGCGAACAGTATAAATGGGAACAATTGTGGCACGACTTGTACAGCTTCTTTGCATCGCTGGGAGAGGTACTCTGGTCGCATTTGCTGTTGCGGCAGCGAACTAGTTGTTCCGATCCCAAGCCCGGCTTCGGTTCCTCGATGAGTTGCAGCTGTCCGCCGCTTCCTATGTCCGAGCGCGTAGCTGTGAAGGCGGAGTCGCCCAGCGAGACTCGCCGGCTCTCTTTGGGGATATTTGGCTCAGCACTATCTACAGTATCAACTGAATGCGAGTTGGACTGATGGGGTTGGTCCTTGGAATATCGTTTTTCCTGCGAGGGGGTGTCGCCTTCACTCCGACGACGGAGCCGCTGCTGCTCGGCGGCTGATTGCACCTCCAGTTGTTGCCGAACTGCTGCGCCTGCTGTTATGAAATATATGTTTGAGGATTAGTTACCCTTGGTTATTGGTAGTGTTTTGAAAATAAGAACAAAAGGCATTCCAAGTAAACATATACATATGTACATATGTATATAAGTAAGTATACTTACATATATACATATAATAATTTATATATGTTTTTCAGTTTGTTACCTATTAAATGATACCTAATCATTTTAAAAGGCCATTTAAAAAATATACGCTGTATTTTGTCTTAAAAAAGGAATAGGAGCGCCTGCAGCCTAACTATTAATCAACAGATCTCTATATAATTAAATAATTTTTAAAAATTTTGGGTTTTTTGCGGATTGCGATTTTAAAGTGAGCGTGTAGAAAATATTTCTGGCATACTGATGAAATTTAAAAAGTAAAATGGGAACGGAGTGGGGGTGGTAGTTTTTGGCTGTTAGAGTGGGCGTGGCAACGTTTTGAAACACTTTCTTCAACTTGTTACATAATTTTCAACCAATTTAGTATACGAATATCCTTTTACCGAAGACATTATAGCATTATTCTAATGTCTTTGCTTTTACTCTACGAGAACGAGTTACGTCTAAAATAGGTGGGTGTTGCCTTAAATTATTATATTAAGTCATAATATGGCCAGCCACAACAGACTTAAATTTTTGTAGTAGTCACTTTCGCATTCTCTCCGGGTTTGCTTTGACACTAAGTGGACTACCGTCATAAAATTTCCCGTAGTATTTAAATCATGTATTTCCTATCAGACCGTGTAAAATAACTAGCACTATGTGTCGACAGATGAATGTTTGAATGTCATTTAATTAACTTAGTTAACTCTAACAAAATGTATCTTAATTTACTTAATTTTATTTAGCAGGAAGGTAACTGGGCGTGTGCTTCTTCATATCCTCAATGCCTAATTTCCTAGTTCGCACCACTTACTCGATCTAATCACCCATATCATCCCTAAGTCCATTAATGAAAAAACAAGGGAAAGCACTATAGTCGAGTTCCTCCACTATCAGAAACCTTTCAACAAACTTAATAGAAAAATAATCAAATTAAAATAATTCAAAACGTTTTCAAAAGTGTGGGAGTGAGAATTTTGGAAGAACGGCAGAGATAGAGATATGCAAGCAGCAAACCGAGTGGCGTAGAAAGCAGAATTCAGCATGCAGTATGAACATTTTTAATAAACTTTATATATATACCCCGATATTTAGAATTTGTGACACGTAGATAAATATTAAATTTTAAATATGATTTTTTCGAATTTATTATTTGTTTTGCCTATTTAAAAAAAAATGTATCTAGCTGAATAACACTTATATAATAGTACAGAAAATGTACTATAACGTTCTCTATTTTCTAATCTGAACTCATCTTTGCTTGTTTCCTTAAACCTAAAAGAGGAATTCTTTTAATTTTGAATATATGATAAAACAAGAGAGAATGCTGTGGTCGAGTTCCGAGACCATACCAGTAGTCAGCTAAAAATTAAACTTTTTTAAAAGTGTGGGCGTAACAGTTTTGGGTGGTTTTTTAGCAAATCAATAGAACTTTGCAAGCCAAAAAAAAAAATGAAAAAATATCGAAACATTTATCAAAAGTGTGGGCGTGGCAGTTTTGGGCGGTTTGTGGTCAGTGATATTTCGTAAGTCAAATAAAAGCAAGCCAAAAAAAATGAAAGATGTAAATCCTCTACCTATTTCTGAATCTACGCTATTATTGTTGTGTATTTATAATAGTAAAATTAAACTTACAGGTTCATACCTGTTGTCGTCGAATTGGGGGTGTAGCTGCTGTAGGAATTGTTGTTCTGGCCGGATAAGTAGGTAGTTGGCAGTCCTAATAGCGAGGCTAGGACATCTTCTAGCGATGCGCTGCTTAACGACCGTTCGGGCGCTATATTACTTGTTGGTACTGTTAGTGGATTAAGCAGGCCAGGAAATGACAATTTTGGTTGTAAAACATACGAAACAATTAAATTTTTAAGGAATAAAAAAGTAACTAACGCCAAAGTACCTAGCAAGCACACTCAAAATAAAATTAAGGATGTGCATTATGGATGTGTATCAAACACAGGAATAAACTTAACGAGAGAGAACGCTATACTCGAGTACCTCGACCATTAGATACCCGTTACTCGCATTCCCTAGAAGGAATGAGTATATAATCGACAGACCTTTTCTGGAAGTGCTCACGAGTTCCATGAATAAATGAGTTTTAATGTTCAAGCAACATATTGGTATTTACAAACATGTTTTAAATGTTTTTTACACATTTGGTTAATCTTTGAACACATCATTTGGATATGTACAATTTCTAAAACAATCTTGCGTTTGCGCACTGGCGCTTGCTTGACCTCAACTTCATAAGTCTTCTAACTGTTACGCGTGTACTTTTCACCGAGTAACAGGTATACAAATGTATGGAAATAAATAAAATAATAGCAATTTGTAATATAATTCGGATTTTATTATAGAAACAAATACCAAAGTGTAGTCCGGTTTTGTGTATAGTCATATTAAAATATAAAATTCACGTAACTAACAAATCATATAAAAATATGTGTTCGATTTCATTCTTAATGGTCTCATTTTAGGTATAGTAATATAGGCATATATCTAAAATAAACATGGGTTCCAGTTTTCCCGCACCGATGGCAAAATACATGGGAAGTAGCATTAATAAGTGACACAGTCGTTGAAGAACAAAATCGTGAAGACAAAGAGATTTACAATCGGTCTTATTTTTTAAGTTTTAAGTTGGTCAACAACATTTTGATTTAAGTTTTCCTCGTTAAGATACCGAATATCTCGAAGTTCATACAAAATTGAAAATGGACAGACAGACGGAGATTAATTGCATATCTACCTGTTACATTCTTTTCTACGGATCCAGTTAATATATTACTGTAGGAGTAACGGATATAATCTTTTGCCCAACTCAATATTTGTCTAAGACCGAAGCACAGGAAAATCGTGCACATTTGATAATTGAATAAATAAAATAAATAAGACGCAATATAGAACAAAATATTTTTTTGCGCATATAGGCTGATGATTTTATACGGAATAAAAGAGTGGATACCTACGTACACATAATTTTAAATGTATGCATATAGGCTAAAAAACTGCCGTGCACCAAAAAAAAGCATAATTTGCGGCTACCAGTATTTCTACTCTGGTAAACTATCAAACTTGGATGGCGGACTCACCGCCACCGTTGTCAATACGATTTATTTTGTTCATGCGATGTGGCAGCTGATCAGCGGAGACTACAGGCGACAGACCAACATCCAGATGCACTTGGAGCCGCTGTTGCTTTCGTGCTAATTCGGGAGAATTGTTGTCCATTACGGGTGTCTGTGGCGAGTCCAGGGTCCGTGTGCCAACGAAGCTGCTTTCCAGCCAGCACCTGAAGTTAGAAAGTACAAAAATGATAGTTGACCAATATACAAATATGAATATTAAACATGATTTTATTCAAAAGCCTGCTAAAAACATTAAGTTAGTATAAATAATATTCTGTTGTTGAATGATGGCATTAAAAAAGATGTAACAGGGTAAAATCAGACGACTCGATTAACTTAGGTTCCCCATTATGGCTACTGATAAAACTTAGAAACTGAAAGATTTTCAAAAGCTGACATTAGATACTGATAAAGATATTTCAGCAGCACAGCCAGTACTTGAGAAAGCTTAAAATGTACTACAAATAGTGGCCTTTAAAGGTTGCCCACAACTTTACATTGCTGATCAGTTAATTTCAATGATTTTATTGTTAACTGTCAAAACATTTTTAAAGATCCGATTTCAAAACATCTTGACCCTTAGAAGGTAATTTTTTAGGTAAATAGAAATGTTATTTACACATACTTTTAGCATGTCGGTGCCGGACGTTATGGGCTGCGGCTGTGGTGTTTTAAAAAAAACTTGTGCTTCAAGTTTGGCGTCACCAGAATTCGTATGCCTAAATCTGAACTTTTTTGCTCTCACAATTTCCGCAATATCTCGACTTGTATATGGATGTTCAGACTAACATATTGTTAAATGATGTTGCCACGCCCACTCTAACGTCCACAAAGTGACCATAAACGCCAAAACCTTAGAAAAATGTTTTGATATTATTTAGTTTTTCTATTCGTCTTGTAAATTTCTATCTATTTGCCAAAAATCTTTTTGCCACGCCTTCTCTACCGCCCACAAACCGCCCAAAATTGCCACACCCATACTTTAAATGTTTTAATTATTTAAAATTTGATTATTAGACTTGTGAAGGTCTATTGATTTTCAATCAAACTTTTTGTCACGCCCACCCTTAGGCCCACAAAAACGCCCAAAACTGTCACTCCCACACATTTGACAAACATTTGATTTTAGCTGAGTAACGGGTATCTAATAGTCGGAGAACTCGACTATAGTATTCTCTCTTATTTTGAACCATTGCAGGAGCCTCTTTACCAGACAACAATAATAATTTTTCGCCCCAGGCAGTCAGACACGATTACTAGACTCGGTTACATTTTTACTAATCGGAGTTTTGCATCAAAATGCGATAGATGAGTATAAGAAGTACACACACCGGTTTACTCGACCTTGGTTAGTCATTCGTAACTGTTCCAATTTCCACTTCCGGAAGACTTACAAGAGTTCAAATTTCCCAGCCATGTTCCAAGAACCACTTCCATAATATTGCCAAGGAGTCGAATCCTGTTCTGGTATCAACCTCACAAAAACCTCACAATAATGTTAAACCAAGTGTTCGGCTGGAGAATTTCAATACGGCGGCACACGAACACTAATTTTTTAAAAAATACGTTGCAATAACATTGCACCTGATATTTTATAATACTCTTCTTGGTGATTATACTTAAATTGATATATTGAAACTTAGGTATTTATAAATATTTATTTTGTGGAGCACCACAAGTACGTAGCGCATGTTTTAAATTCCATTCGGATTTGTATAACATGATTTACTGTTGACATGGTACACATTCTAAACAAATAACGTGTAAGATCTTTTGTTTATTGGAACCACCTCAATGCGCTAGTGTACTTGTGTAGGGAATATCGTTTTGTAAGTTTTTAAAGGGTGGCCACTGAAAATCGAGAGGTGGAAAAATTAGGGATTCGATATTCAGAAGTTCGATATATTCAGGATCAATAGCCGAGTCGAACTGGCCATGTCAGTCTGTCCGTATGAACGCCTCGATCTCAGAAACTATAAATTTAGTATAATGAAATACCAGAGCCATAGACGCAGCGCAAGTTTGTTTCCAAATGTTGCCACAATTGTGACAATTGTGGAGGATTGTGGGTTTCAGAATGAATGGGCGTGACAACCATCTGAAAAAATCTTGAACAGCGTAGGAGTCACTAAAATCTGCATTCCTTATCTCAATATTCATCTTCTAGCTTTTACAGCGTTCAGACGGACAAACAGACGGAAATTGCCGGATCGACTCGACTAGTGATCTTTATCAATATACATATATACTTTATAAGGCGGAAGCGCCTTCTTTTAACTGATGTATTAGAAACACGTATTTGTGGCTCCTTGATACGGCTTTATAAATAAGAATCGTTTGCAAATAGCCCCATTTAAAAAGTCTACAGTATGCCAAAGTTGAATCAACCATGCGCCTTTAAAATAAAAACAAACGCTATATTTGGAACCAAGCGGAATTTTTATAAAATGGCTCCAACATATATTATAACGGACATTTTTTTTGCCTCAAAAGAGGAATTCGATCACTGCTTTTAAACTCACTTTCGCGCAAAAATTAGAACAGTCCTTGTAAATGTTATTAGAATGCTCACATAAACCCAACCCAAGTCTTACCTTGGCTAAGAGGTACATACTTTTAAAGGTACCAATGAATTATGTAATTGGTAAATAGTTCAACTAATAATGGGCATATATATTCTCAATAGACGGGTATGGTTCGAGGAGTGTAATATAACATGAGCTTAACTCTCGCCGATTAGATACTTAGGAAGGGCTCAGACACAATGGGCGATCTAACTGTAAACATTACTTTTTTGTAGAGGGCTAGTAGGCGTTCGTATACCTTGCATTTGGACTGGTAGAACGGCTGTGCGGATGTTGGGACTGCTGCTGGTCGTTCACGAAGTGAACGATGGCGGATGTGACTTCCTTAATGGAGCTTTGAATCTCTGTCGATACAGGATGTAAGGCGCGGGTTTCATTGGCTGCTCGTTGGGTTAGCAGCGAGTTGGCCAGACTGCAAAAATAAAATAGAAAAAGTCTAAGGTGAAAATTTTGTATCATACTTAGTCAAGGACGGTTTTAGTTTTAGGACGAAAAAATAATACTTAATACCGCCTAATAAATTATTTAACAATAAATAACACTATAGTCTCCTCGACTATCAGATACCCGTTACTCAGCTAGTGAGAGTGCTAGGATTTTATTTTCCTTTCGTATCGATAGAAATTGAAAAAACAAATAATACAATAAGAATGAAATCATTTTCGAAAAGTGTGGGCGTGAAAAAATCAATGGCGTCGCAGTTTTATTCGAGTAACTGGAATCTAATAGTCGAGGAACTCGACCGTAGCAATTTATCTTGTTTATTAATCCTATTGGTGGTATATGAAATAGTCATCTAATTTTTATGCACTAACACTAAATTTGTGTTATTATTTTGACTACAATTACAAGAATTAATATTATAAGCAAGCAGCAAGAGTTCTGACCTCCACACCTTATGCTAATGGTTTATTGGAACCTACCGTTCGTGGGGAGTACGCTGGGAGAGCTTCTCTGTGCTGCGCCAACCCAAATACGGCTGCCGGTAGGAATTGCGCAACAAACCGCTGCCACTGGCCACAGACATAAAGCTGCTATTAATGGGCGCGCCGCGCGTAAAGCTTCCGCGCTGCGAGGCACCGGGGGACATCTGAGTGGAATTTAGATGCGAGGTAGACCAGCGAGTGGCACCCATACCTATCTGTACAGGGGCTGGACCGTGAACTGTCGACGACCCACATGAATAGGAGCTTTGGCCGCCGTGATGGCTGTGCGCTGAGGGACTCATCAACAAAGGACTTCGGTCGGAGCGTTGCGATCCCAGCGAGCTGAGGGAAGTGGTCTTTGAGTTGAGCCCTTGCCAGCGCCCCGATTCCTGTGCGCGTTTGCGGGTGAAGTTGCCAGGTCGGTAACCACCGCCAGTCGCACTTGTGCATGCGTTTTCGCCATCTGCTGCCTTTTCGGCGCCTTTGGTGTAATGACGGAACCAGTCGGGAATATTTAGCCGCTGAAGCGACGCTTGAACGCGCAGTTGGTGCTCGCTTAGTGCGCCAGAATTGTGGTCATGTGATTTCTGCAGTTCGTTTTCAGGGGGCTGTAATGGATGAAAAATGTAAAGATAACATATATAGTTTTTAAATTATTTGTTGAGTTATTGAATCTACATTTGTTGAATAACAAAATTACAGTATGATACAAAATGAGACCAAAATCACAAAATCACAAAACACTCAAAATGGTTAGATGCCATTTTGAACGCCAACAACTGGCAAGCGATATACGTTGCTCGTAGAGTAAAAGAGTAAGAGTAAGAGGAAGAGTAAGAGTAACATTCGTTAAAAAGTATTTAGAGAAAAGTACGCCGTATTGGCAAAAAACCACCGGTAAAATTGGAGCGCTTCCAAAAATACTTCGGAACAAATTTTCCACCGTGCCACATAACTCCGCATAACTGTTTTTTTAACCAACGTTTTCGGATTTGACTGTTAAGAGTTGTCACCTTCCAAGATTAGAGTGGACTGGGTATTTATAAGTTGTAAGTTGCAGAAAAAAAGGTGTTTTAAGCTCTGATGTTTCATTTAATTTAATTTCATTAATTTATTGACTTATAAAAAAAATTATTATAGAAGGCTTTAAAAAAAAGAACACATTTAAATTAAAAAATAAAAGGTTCTCGGAAGGTGTAGCACCTGATTGCCAGCTTCCTAGCAACTCTCCAAACTGGAGTTTCAACGCTTATTGAATTGAACTGAAAATATTACCTCAAATGAAATATTTTAGATTACCTATTTAAAAAGAAAAAAGGTGATATAGTCGTGTTCCCCTTTATTCAGCTAGTGGAAGTGCGAAAGAGAAACTTCAACATTTTCTAGATTATCTCAACTTTCTAGCTTTTATAATTTCTGGGATCTCGACGTTCATATGGAAGGACTGACGCACATAGCCAGATCGACTTTGCTATTGATCCTGATCAAAAATATATGTACTTTATACTTCTACCTGTTACATAGTTTTCAACGGAGTTTACTCTTTTAAAAAAATTTTACATTTTTTTCAGTTTATTATTTTTTTGCAATTTGTACCTATATGCCAGAAAATGTAGAAATTCCTTGTTCGCACTTCCACTAGCTGAGTAACAGATATCTGATAGTCGGGGAACTCGACTACAGCATTCTATATTGTTTTTTTTTAAATCTAACCCGTTACTCGTAGAGTAAAAGGGAATAGAAGATTCGTTGAAAAGTATGTAACAGGACAGACAGACGGGCATGGCCAGATCAACTTGACTATGAATACTTGATACATTATATAGTCGGAAACGCTTCCTTCGACCTGTTACATACTTTTCAACGAATCTAGTATATCCTTTTACCCTACTAGTAACGGGTATACAAATGGTATATACTGAATAAGAATAATTTATTATCAAACACATTTAAACTATGATTTCTGAATAGGAATATTTTATTATCAAACACATTTAAACTATAATTTTTTTACAAAAGACCGTTCGGATGGACAAGTCCTCCGGATAATAACCAATTGAAACTGAAATTATAAGTTATCAAAAAATTGGTGTATACCGAATAAGAACACTTTATGATTAACAACAACGAACGTCAATATTTTCCGATTATTCCTATGACAGCCCGTTTTATTTATAATTTATATGCAATAGGAAAAGGACTTTTTGGAAAAATTTCATGTAGATAGCTTTCAAATCGAAAGACAGACGGAAAATATATTTTGAGGCATACATATATACTTTATATGATTGCAATGACTCCTTTACGGCGTTTCAAACTTCTTTCTGAAATCATTATATCCTAAGCAAGGGTAAAAAGAAAGTAAGAGAGCAAGGATTTGGAAATGTTAGCAAATGCAGAAGTGCAAAGTCACACCCAATAAGTTACATTCGGGCGCCCTGGTGTGTACATATATAGGGAATGGGGTGTACATTTGTAGGGAAAATAATAATTAATTTTTACACGGTTGGACTCGAAACATATACATATGTAAAAACGACACACAACCTCGAAGAGTGTGTGAAAGCAGCCATCGAAAACGTGTGAAATACACGCACCAACAGTACAACGCAAATGGAAAAGGAACTCGGAGCATTCGGGTCGGCTATTGGATCGGCTATTTAAATGTTTTCTTATGTTTTCTTTGCCTAGCACTTTTTGGAACACAAGATAAAATTAATTTAACAAATTTGGCTTTTACTTGGTCAATCATGGCGCGAGAAACACAACACCGAATTGCAAACACACTTGCTTTAGGCGCATAACACACTAAGCGCCTTTTGCCAAGCCCCGCACCAGGGAATGTTTCGCGCTTGGACTTGTGGTAGATACTAACACGTTTAATGGCCCATTGGCCAGGAGACACCCGACCGAAATGGGGCCACAATTTATGGAAGCTTTTGCGCATGTCAGACAGAAAGAGCTTTCCGATATTGTCTTTATGGCATCGCGGAAGGATTCAAGGGTCGAAGCGCCGTGTATCAGGTGGCCTCACTCTTCTCATGGCAGCAACAGGCTGTCATCAGAGTGCTTGACTATAGGTGGCTTTTATATATGGCTCATTGCTTGCAATATTAAAGATTCTTATTAAGCTTTAAGATAAATATGCCATAAAATTATAAAAATACTCAATACTGCCTCAGGGATACAAATCTTAAAAGTTTAGGTTTGAAGGGCATAGCATGGCCAATTGTATGAAGAATACTACCCAATGTATTAAAAAATATTGCCATTTGGTCAGTACCTAAATAACCTTCCTTAAAATTGGGAATGCATATGGTATCGGCTTGAAATACATTTAATTGAACAAATTAATCGAACACCTAAAATTTTGAAATCAACTTATGTTACGAAAAATTATTTTGCACTTATTTGACCCCCGGGCAGTATGGATTTCAAACTGCAAAGCACTTAAAATTTCCTAACTTTTGATATCACTGTGAAATATATACGCTGTGACAAGGCGCGAAGCCGACTTCTATATATACACGAATAAATTCAAATCTGTTGTGGGGTTGTCCGATACTAACGAAAAAACAATAGAAAATAAACTTAAAAACAAAATAAATAAAAAAAAAAATTTGGAGAAAAAGTAGTGAAAGTGTAAACGTAAAATTTTGTGCTATTGGGGCTGGTGGGAATAACATTACTCACTATTTACAAACTTCTTCTTGAAAATACACATCGATTGGCACATCATTTCTAAATATTTGTTTGTGGAGAAACAATAAATTTATACTGCTTCTTCCGCCAATTCAAAACAACTAACCCCTTTTGAGTTATACATTTTGCTCTAGCGCATCAGCACACTATTTATTTAAATTATGCAAACAATTATATTATGCAAATAAATTATATAAACAGCAAATTTCTAAAAACCCGCTAGCCTAAAATCTATGAAGTCAAGTGCCCAAAAGTTGATATCGAAAGTGAAGATCGACTTCGAAGATCGGTGCGATCGACACTTGTTTTTTTTCTCGTCAAAAGTATTAGCTTAATAGAGTAAGCTGAAGGAATTATGGTTACGTGACGTTTTAATTGGAAGTAAGTATCGGAACATATTTGAGAAATTAAAATCCGTGTAAATCTTTCAAAAGTTAAAAATTGGAAAAGGCCCCCGATTTGCTGAAAGGCAGATTGCGGTTAACGTACTGTTTGTTATAGCAGAGATCTATTTGAAAGATCAAGAGCAATTTCTAGCCCCTGCTCGGGACCTACAAATCTGTAGCTGGCCGATTTTGGCCACTGACTTTAACCTTATTCAAAGCCCGTACTACTTGTTAAGCTAATGTAATGTCATAATGATTTTAAGCTTGTGGCAATTAACTTTAATAGATTTAAATGTTTTATAAACAAACCTACAGCATAATTATTATATAAAGAAGCATATTATAATGTAAGATATCGAAGAGCCTTATCCAGAAAACTATGCTCAGCCGACCTTTTTTGACTAGTAGTAAGCCGCGGTAACTGGTGACCGATGTTCTCGCTAGATAACGTGTCGCTATGTCCCTGTTGTTGCAGATGCTTGGCGAAAGTGGGCTTAGCATCATTTCTCTTTAACACAAAGTTAATTATGCGGGATCGCGTTGAACTACATTTATTCCGCGTTACAGCCTGGGAGCTCGGATGCACTAACGGTACCCACTTAGCTTCAGATTCTCCGGAGTCCGAATCCAGGGAGGAGATTCCAACGCAGCTACAGTAGGTGACGCTGCTGCGCGCTGAATACGAAACACTTCCGTACGCTTCGTCGTCACACATTTGGTATTCGGGACAAGGTGTGCTGTCGCTCTGTGCAACCAGATGGTCAGATACAGCATAAGGTATGCACTTTGCCTCCAGATATAAGAGCGGTTCGTCTACGGCTTCCTCGGCTGTGGGTGTCGGACTGGAGCATCGTTCATCCGCCAACGCCGTCATTCGCGCCTGATGTAGTCTTTGCTCGCGCCGAAGCTGGCGCCGCTCGTGCCTCTCCTTTTCCAGGCGAGATATGGTTTCTAGACTCTCAATAAATAAGTTCAAGTCGCCCCGTCCAAAGCAGGCTGCGTTTAAGGTGACGGTGGTAGACATCGACGAAACATCCTTTGAATTCAGGTTCAGGAACTGTGTGCAGGTGAATGCTGACATACTGCTTATATGTTTGAGAGTGCTGATAGCTCTTTTCGGTAGGATAGTCTTTTGAAAACTGATACTGGTTCTCAGTGCCAATGTCTTATTTATACAAGTAATTTCGCGGATTTTATGACTTTATACCTGAGACACAGGTAGCAGATAAGGGGGATCAAATTCATTTCTGTAATTTCTTTAAATCCGTTTTAATGATAGGTTTTCCCAAATCCATGTGTGCCCAAGTGGGACCCGGAAAATCCACCAAAGCTACCTGGCTGGAAAATTAATTTACCATATGCTACCGTGCACAGCTGGTGCACCTACTAGATCTAAAAAAAATGTGCAAAGACGTCAGCTATTTCCTACTAAAAATTTTGAATCGCTTAATGTATATACATACATTATTTGACAAACAAAATGACATTTTTCACAAATAGAACAAAATATTATAATGATGATTTTAATAAATATTACTAAAACTACTAATTAGAATTCTGCAGCAAAAAAACAAGTGGAAAAAATCTGACTATTGGCGAATATCTATTTCAAGAATTTTATTGTATATCACACTGTCGATTCGTTAGAAACATGAAACAGGTGGAACCTATAAGCTTCGAGATATCGGGAACTATTAAAGATTTAAAGTTAAGGCAATGGGTTAGTTTGTTTTAAAACATGACCACACCCACTCTAATATACAAAAAGCTCAAAAAAAACGGTCAGGTCCACTAAAATGATTTGATTTTTATATTGAAATTCATTTCGTTGGGCAACACTTATTTATGCACACACGCCCATAAAAAATAAATATGTGATGGTCTTTTGTTTGTTGACGGAATATCGGAGGGACCATGTTATTGTCTTAATGATCCCAAAATAAAATGTGGAGTTAACTCCACTCCATTGTTAACTTCTAATTTAAGTAAACATGAAACTTCATAAAACTACGCTACATACCAATTTGTAGTTCTAGGTGATTTAGTGGGCAATATAGAAATTGACAAAATATCAAAACATTTTTCAAAAGTGTGGGCGTGGCAGCTTGGGCCGGTTTGTGGTCATTAGAGTGGGTGGGGCAAAAAGTTGATTTGCGGAATTGGAATTGGATTGAAATCACATTAATATAAGTTCGATTAGTAACTGTAAGTAGTTGTAAGTAGTGCACGATAAAAAACGTTTTAGTTGTGTACTTATGTATTTTCGTACTTTTGCGCACTTTCTTGCTTATTGTTTACAAAAGAATTTTATTTTTAGATTTTAAGCGAGCGGGGAGAGAGCAATTATTTCCGCCGCCAACAAAGTAGCTGCATAGTGCAACCCCAATGTATGGCCGTTACGCATTTTGTTATTCTAATGTCATTGGTAAAAGAGTATTATATATTAAATTTTTTAATAAGTATGTACTAGGGTGTATTTCCTATTCTATAACATACATATACATATGTATACACATATTTTCTTGAAAACGACTAGCCTAGTTCATTTTTTCAGATATTTATATATACATATAATGTTTTTTCATTTTATTATTTTTCTCGCTAATTTATATCGTCATGGCAAAAATATCTTAACCACGCCCACAAGCCCGAAAAAGCTGTCAAGCCACCTGTTTTAATAAATGCTAACATATTATTTATTTTAATAGATTTTAGGCCAACTTTATCTATGCCTTAAAAATATTTAATTTTCTTTTTCGCACTTTGCTCAGTAATGGGTATCTGATAGTCGGGGTATCTGGTATAATTCGACGTCCCTAAAATCTCCATGCTCAATAACAATCTTCTAGTTATTATAGTTATCCAAGTCTCGACGCTTTATTCTAGCTGTTAAATACTTTTCAAGGACTCTGGAATAACGCCTTACTTTACTGTTGGCTAAAAAATTTCAAAAATAAGCTTTTTTGGGGCATTAAATATTTTTTTTCAAGATTTTTTATGGTTATTTTATAAATTTATAACGAATTTATTCGTTTATATGGTAGTTATAAGATATAATTGCATTACATTTCAAAATTAAACCTAACATAAATTCTTAAGCCAGGCAGGGACAAACGATTTCGTTTTTAAAGTATCGCGTATTTTAGCCCGAACACAATAGTGTTAACAAGATAAGACATTTTGGTTCATTGGGCTACAACTTTATTCCGAAAGGGAGATTTAAAATACTGTGAATGACTTCTTAAGTGTATGCGGCAAAACAAGGACATGCGTCCACAATTGTATTAAAACAGCTGTGGTAGTCTGCTAATTTCCGAAGTGTTATTATCCAGTTCGCTATGGGAATTTTACCTGATTTGTACATTTTTTTAACCGATTTAGAATTGATCAAAGTTTTATGTTATGTAATGGAAATGTTAAATTAACACTCCCATGTCAAAAAATAACAGCGGTAAAGTGCTGGGGTTAATTTTGTATTGCCTACACATTTAGTGCCATTAAATTTGAAATAAATACTCATTCTTCAAATGTGTTCTTCTTCTATGGGTTTTTACTAATATTTTGCTCATTTTGTGCTTGTAAACTTAACAATTGAGCAAGTAGTAACCTCCGCCAACTTTTAAAATAAAATTTCAACTTTGAGTAGAGTTTAAAAAAATTGTTGAAATTTGTTGAGTAAGTGTGTTGGCCCATGCTGTAGAGGGATTAATTCAAGTTTATTTGTGGGCATATTGACATCATATTTGAAATTAATCAAAATCTCGTATGTATAGGAGAAAGCGCGCATATTTCATGAGAATTCGTTGTATAAATGGAAAATATGCAATATAAAGCTGGATAAGGTCGCAGCAAAATACCCGGCATGGACGGAGGGCAATCTTAGCATGAACTTACTTGGAAATTCAACCAAAGTTGAATTCCAACTTTACCGACTTTCCAACTTTCACAGAGGATACTAAATTTCGGACCCCATAATATCATCTCTAACTTTAGGCAGATGGGCGGTGGCGACACGCCAACTTTGCCAAAATAATTGTTAAGGTGTGTATAAGATTAAAACAAAAATGATCATCGTATCCTAAAAAGGTTTACGATATATTAATTATGCCAACAAAACAGGTCAAATTAGTAGTGCAACTTCGCAAAGATGCCCAACAGATGACTAATACCTAAACATATTTTGAAAAACCTATGGCTGTCATATACTACTTTCGGAAATTTGGTTCCGTTAAAACAAATGTGGACCACCAACTTATTGCCAAGACTATTGAAACCAATAACTCACTTAACCAAAGTTATTTAGTGGTATACAATTGGTATAAAATTAAATATGTTGTATTTCAATTCCTTCCTTTTGATTTTTCAATTAGCCCTGGGCAATACGCCAACAATGACGCCTCCAATTTTAGCCGTTAAACCATTAAACTATTTGTGGCACGCGACAAATAAAGAATTGCTGGCGGGAAGATAAGTAATTGGAAGACGGTATAAAAAAAGTGTTCTTTTGGGGACACTCGGTCAGAGAAAGTTCGTCGAACCTTACCATTTCCACAAAGGCCAACCGTTAAAAATTTAATGTTGCCATTTGCTGACAATGCGCTCAGACGGGTAAAAACCATATGTACACGCATTACACACTTTTGTATTGGATCGATTTGTATGGACGCCCAAAAATGTGGTAAGTACTGGTAGAGTGGCGGAATTCTATGAAATATTCCCAAATAATTAGTAATATAACTTTACTCTTCGCAGCTTCAAACTGCTATGTTTACTTGGTTTATTCAAGACGGTATTGAACGCAATTAGGTTAACTACTCTTAACATATCCATATCTCATAACACTCGTTTAATAAACCGATTCTATGGGATGACAACATTTTAAGCCAATGGCTCTGATGGAAAGCAATATGTTTGGTGCGACCAATACACAGCTTTATAACAAGGCCTTGAACCGGTTGGTTAAGCATGGCAGCCGATTTTATCGACCGAATGATGGATGCAAAATGTGCCTTCAAATTGAATTGAAACCCCTGATGCAAATAACGATCATAACAAACACTCTCAGAAATTGTGAATAATTTGCTCTTCTGGAGCTTCCCACACGTAATTATTACGACAGCACACATTTTATTGAAAATTTTACATAGTCTTACGGAAAATGATGCTTTGGAAAATCTTGAAGGACTGGGTAAATATAACAGTGGAAACCAATAGGTGTCCTGAACCAGAAAAGAGGACATACAAAATATTAGCTAATTTTAAAGTAATAAAAAGTTAAGCACAATGAACTGCACAAAACAAGCTACGGCATGAAAAAGCCAGCATATTATGTTATTGTTAATTTTAAGTTTTGGGATGTACATACATATATACTCGTTGCTCTTTCATTAAAATGGTACACTGATTTAGTTTGTATGCAATAACATTGTATTGTATTCATTGAGCCAACTAATTTAAACCCATCGCTAGCAAACGCAGATGACAATGATGAACTTTTGACGCGAAGATGATAACTCATTGTTAGATCACAAAAGTTAAATTTTCAGTTGGGCAAAATCAATTAAATTAAAACTGGAAGATTTACATAAGTCACAAGCGAACTTCTTAAATTTTATCTTTTATGTATGTACATATCTAAACATACATACATAAGTATACATATGTATATTTAAGAATGAATATTTGTGGTTGTGAGTAAATACAAACATGTATGTACGTACAATGTACGTAAGTGAATACCAAAATAAAACGCAATTAATACACAGAGAAAGGTAGTGCTGCCGCAAGAGTAGCCATCTTAAAAGAATTGCTTATAAAAGAGAGGCTCTCTTAATTTTTACTCAATTTGGAATTTTGCTTTCACTTCATTACAATAGATGAGAGAGTAACTACATATGTATATCCTATAGATATATGTATGTACATACATATTTATATATCTACATACATACATGTATATGCATGCATGAACTGAAAATTTATTTTATAGGACGGACGCGGTTTTTAAAATGTACATACAGTGAAACGTAACATTTTTCCATATTAAATGCCAATCAAATGAGGTCAATGTTTGTTGGCCAAAAAGGGTTGGGGTGGACCATATTGTACTTGTGTACAATATGTATTATGTCTTATGTAATTATGTCTTAAAATCCGTATGTATAATTTTGGTAAATATATTGACGTATACATATATGTAAAAACGTTTACACATATATAGAGCACATACATATAAATTTAATCTTCCTCAGATCAGTGATATAATATTTACATATGTACATATGTGTATATATATAAATATGTGTATAGGCATATGCATCGAAATATGAAGAAATTACATACATACATATGTAGATCCACTGTCATTTAATTGGCACTGTCAAGAAACAGCTAATTATGTATACATACATATGTACTATGTTCAAAGTCGCTATACTCTACTATTAGAGGGGAAGTGCAAGTGAGAAATTTCAAATTTGTTTTGAAAAGTTTTTATACCATTTAAAAAGTGGGAAATATCAATGTCCGTCTGTAAGAGTTGAGATTAGACATACAGATTCTACGCTGCGCATGCTTGTTTCCACGCCTACTCTAACGCCCTCCGTCACGCCAACACCTTTAACATTATTTTTGATTATATTTTTTATTTATTATTTTTCTTGGCAATTTCTATCGATATCTAACAGGAAACAGGGCTAAATTGATTTATTTAATGCTTATTCGGCTAGGAGGAAACGCAAACATACAGTGGATGACAACATGTCCCATAAGTTATAACGCCGATATTTTTGTAATATAGCTGAGCTGGTCTGCTGAATTCTAATACTGTTTTTCAATACTATCCTATCCTGTCAAAAATTAGCAACGCTGCTTAACAGGTGAGTGATATTTAATTATATTTAGAAACTCGTATTTGTGTCTTCTTGATTCGACTTTATGAATTAAATTCATTCACAAATAACACTTATCCAGTAAATACCACAGCAAACTAAAATGGAACCAGCTACGCTAACTCTACGCTAACTTTAATTCACTAGTAGATTTAAACCGTATAAATATTTTCAAAAATCCATTATAGCTTTAAAATATCAATATTATTTATCCCTTATAATATATGAAATAAGTTAAGTGGTTGCACTGGGTAAATATAAAACAGCACTTTAACGTTTTCTGACTTAGAACCAATGTTCTTATAGGCATTTTTATGTGAGTATTTTTGAAAAATGCAAGCAAACCTAAATCATACTGAAATTTTTACTTTCACTCCTTTCATTAAACCTTTCACTCAATTACAAATTAAATACAATGTCGTTTGGCCGCAAGCGACACACTGTGCCCAACGAGGCAAAACAAAAGGTTAAAGAGGACTAGAAGAATATTTAATAAAAAAAGAAATGGAAATATCCATGGGTGTTTTTTAAAAGTGTTCAAAATAATTTTTCACAAAAAGAAACAAATAATTTTAAAGAAGCATATGTTTTTTGATAATATCCTAAAATTAATTAGTTAAATTCTATGTCGAGTTGTAGAACTAAGCAATAATTATGTGCAAGGCCACACGATAAAATGAAACTTACCAAAACATTTTTCTGGTTCTCCTTGTCCAGCAGAAATTCCATACTCTTGTGCGGCCTGCGTACGGATGCCATTCCACCACCTGACGAGAGTTTAACCTCTCCGTCCAGTTCATCCACGTCATACGCAACGCTGTTTACATTTAGACGCTTTACGATGTATCGTTTCTGCGGCATGCTAAGTGGGTTGCAAGTTATATCCATAAGAGAACGTGTCTTTCCCGAAATAACCGTTTCATGAGTATCTAGATTGGTCTCGATCAAACCCATCTTGTCGACATCTTCGACGGGAGCAACAGAAACCGGGACTGCGGTAACCACTGTGGGCCTAGTCGAGGTGCCGTATCCGGCCAGTCGATTAACCGTTTGTGTCTCTTGGGCGACTACTGCCCGCGAGCTGAGCACGGTGTCCCGCATTCTCGTTCCTTGGTTATTAGCCATCAACTCTCCGGTAAATTGATTGTACTGTTCTCGTTCGACGCTCGGCAACGCCACGGCACGATGGAGATTGACGGCTTCACTGGTTGTTTCCTGAGGCGCATGCGCCAGGATGCCACTGCGTGGTGGAATTTTGGGCAGTGGCGGCTTGCCAGTCACCCTTTGCAGAGTTGAGGTCTTGACCAGCTGTTCCTGTTGGTGCCAGCTGTTCACGTTGCAACTGCTCGTCTCGGAAGCGACAGTATCGTCCAGTCGGCCGGATTGCGAACTTTTTGGCGGCTTTAAAGGGATGTGCACAAAGTCGACCGATTGGCCGTCCTCGGGGCTCTGCGTGAACTGCTTTCCGGGCGACGCATTGACCCACGATGGCTCTTGTTGCTGCTGCTTCTTTTTGCGACGTAAAGAAAAACGCAGTCCGTGGGCGAACCTGGAGAAGAGGCTCCTGGAGGTTGGATGTTTGTCGTCCGTCCTGCCGACAGCAGTGGCCTGCGAGCTTACTTTGCTGGCCGACGGCATCTTGATAATCGGCGACGCCTTCGATTCGTAGCACTTCAGTTGCTGGGATGAGTACAAGATGTGGTGCGCGCGGTTGGTGGGCGGCTCGCTGAGGATTGGCAGGCTGAGAGGTCGTGCAGTCGCTGAAGCAGGTTCCTCAGTAGCATCTTTTAAAGTTTCTCCTTGAGAAGACGACTTCGCAACGGCACAAGGTTTTAGACTGACTGTGCTGCTTAAAGCGGGCTCAGTTTCTAGGGTGGTCTTAGCTTCGGTTCTTCGATCGCGGCAATTGGGTGTGGCTAAGATTGCTTTGTTTTTGACATTGCCGCTCTCTTCAATTGATGAGTTTTTCTCTGCGTGTGTGGAAGCGGATAAGAGCGGATTGGTATGAAGACCGGTAAACTAGAAAAAAGAGATTGTGTGGAATTACTTTTACTTATGTCGTGTAGAAAGAGAATCGAATATCAATGGGGTAAACTAAACCGAAACAAACTAAGGCAGAATAAAGATCTTATCTATCGTTTTAAGCATAAGATATAGAGAAAAATTTAATTTTTAATTCAGCCTAATTAATACCTCTGGAAAATAACTATAATTACTACTATGGTTGAATTTTAGGAATTTTTTTGGTTCCAAGTTATAAACAAAAATATAAGCCGGTCGTGCGGGACATAGACTACCCAATCAAACTCTGATTCTGTATTATGTTATGTTTATCTTAATTATTTTTTGGTTATACAGTACATTTATATACCCATTACTCGTAGAGTAAAAAGTTGTATAATCGTTCAAAATATGTAACAGGCAAGAAAAGTTTCTGAGTAAATATCCAGGGAACTGTAAAAACTAAATATCCAGGGAACTGTAAAAACTAGAACTGAGATTACGTTTGCATAAGTTTCTATGCAAACTAATCTTCTCTCTGCGTGAAATTTTCCAAAAATTTGGTTTCTTTTTCTTGCAGGTAGTATTTATATGTACATAGTCGGAACGGGTCGTATCGGACCACTAAATGAGCTATTTGATTGATTAATCGAAAAATTAATGGAACATTTTTACTATGGTTGTCATTATTATTATAATGTTTTTGACATCATGTAATGTCGGTTTCAATCTTATAAATATTGGATATCATATATCTGGCAATGTAGCAGTCGGAAGATGTCTGATTAAATAATGGAAAATAAATCCTTGCTTCGTTGTTTTTCACCATACACCAGTTTTCTAAAAATATATAAGTTCCATATTAATTTGATCAAATTCAGATGATTATATCATACAAATGATTTAGAAAAAGCCAGCCAAAGAAACAAGATAGAATGCTAAGTCGAGTTCCCCGACTATAAGATACCCGTTATCAGATACCAAAATTTTCTGAAAGATCCGTAAAAATTGGGGGGAAAAAAAATAAAACACTGCAAACTTTTAAAAGTATGGGCGTGGCAAAGTTTTTGGCAAATCTATAGACATTTACAAGATATATAAAAAACTGAAAAAATATCACATTTCTTAAAAGTATGTGCGTGCCAGTTTTTTACGGTTTGTGGGCGTTGGCGTGTTCATGGCAAACCAATCTATAAAAATTTACAAGATATGTATGTATATTCGAAAAGTGAAAAAATATCACATTTTTTAAAATTGTGGGCGTGACAGATTTTGTCGGTTTGTGGGCGTGGAAAATAGTTTTTTGCCAAATCTGTGAAAATATATAAAAAAAATAAAAAAATATCACCTAAATATTTAAAAGTGTGGCCGTGACAGTTTTGTGCGGCTTGTGGGCGTAAGATTCGGAGTGGCAACATTTGGAAACAAACTTGCGCTGCGTCTAAGTCTCTGGAAGCTACGTGCTTAAGATTAAGCATGTTGAGATAACATTCTAGACGGACATGGGCAGATCGACTCGGCTATTGATTCTAATCAAGAATATATACTTTATATGGTCGGAAACGTTTCCTTCTGCCTGTTACAAACTTTTCATCTAGTGAATTTTTTCGAATCTAGTATACCCTTTCACTCTACGAGTAACGGGTATAAAAATAAATCGTAGTTTTGATATTTTTAATCATAATAAGGTTTAACTCAATATACACCAGATTTTTTACAATATATAATTTCGGTTTCAATCTGATCAAAATCGAGATTTATAATGTCCTTTGGAAAGATAGCTTCTATGATTTTTAGCATTATACTATAATTATAATTTTTTATACATATATATTTTTATATGTACAATTACTAAAAAGCTATTACTAATTACTGTCAAAGCTATGTCTTTTTTTGCTTAATGTAATATTTGTAGTAGGTCTTTTTGGGTACTTTATTTTTAGACTTTGCCAACTCTCATCCTGCTCCATTAAATTGAATAAGTTAACAACACTAAATTAATGTAACTTAAAAAACATGTAACAAAAAGTTGGGCAATGTTTTTCAACATTATTCTTTTGGAAACTTAGCAGCATTTTATGCATGGATTTATAATGTTAAGTACATATTAAAGTTCATGTCCGGCATTGCTTCTAAGAAAGATAACAGGAAAAATTAAAAGCACTATTTTAGCTAAAAAATATTGACATATGCAATAAACAAAAACCATTACCATAATTTTAGAAACGAAACAAATATTTAAAAAAAAAAAACAAATGTAAAAGCTTTTTTCATGCCGCAGCATATTTCGTGCAGTTCTTTTTACATAACTTTTTATCACTAATTATTAGAGCAGGTATATTTTTTAGCTCATGAAAAGCTTCTTTCGTAATACTCGGCCATAAAAGTGGAGATCATGTAATACAAGGCACACTGTATCAGGACTATCTTATTGCCCATTTCGTCCTTGATCTCTGCTGGTAATTTTGGAACCGATAGCTTGAGGTTTTCCTTAGTTTTTCACCCTTATCGGGGTCTGCGAGATTCTATTGGCTTCTATCTTGAATACGGTTGTCCCAAACGATCCTTTGGTTAATGCATTGCAACTTGATGGGCTTACGATAGCGCTGCTCAATGGATGTGATTTCCAGGAATGTTTATATTGAAGTGCGATCAAGCATAGAAACCCATATAATATAGTATTACTATGCAACCCATAGTATCAGTATTCAACATGTTAAAACAAAAAAAAATCTTTTAATTTGGGACAAGTTTCAGCATTTATTGAATAGAAACACTGCACGAAATAAGCATTAAAGTAAGCTTATTTTTTGTTTTTTTTTTAACTTTCTGTTTTATTGAGCCAATTTAGAAAATTGATTTATTTTGTTTAAAAATAAATATAAATAAATAAATAAAAAGAATTCAATGTAAAAATACCCCATTTAAATATTTTTGAAACCTCCAAAAAAAGGACGGCAGTTACGATTCAGCTTTTATTTTTCAACTGCACGAAATAAGTTGCGACCCATTGCAGTTTAAATTCGTTCTGGGTGTATTTAATTTGAAAATGTCTTGTTCAGGAAATCTACTCACTATCTTTTACTCCACATTTGGTCGAATGTTTTTAAATGGCAGAAAGATTCCGAATTTTTCAAGCAACAACAAAACATTTTTTTCAGCATCGTATGTATACATATATGTACATAATTATACATATGTACATACACGAAACCAACGCCTATTTATATGTTTGCTTCTACATTGGATAGATACCTTTTGTGCGATCGCCGGCTCTCTTAGACGATGCGGCTGCTCTGACTCGAAGAGCGCAGCGATGTTTTCGTTCTCTCTGGTGTTGTTCACCAAAGTGGGGTCCATCAGTTCGTCGTCGCTGGCCTGCTCGCCCTCGCTGGAGTGGAAGTGGTCCTCGGCCGGCTCCTCGGAATGCTGCTCCTGCCAACAGTACTTACTTACCACTGGGCAAAAGCTTACCTCCTTTCCGAAGGAATGGCGCGATCCGGTTGGTAGCAGAATTCCCAGTGGCTTTGGGTGCGTTGGTGTCTGCGGCAACTGGTGCATTGAGGCGTGGGCGCTGCTCACGTAGATATCGTACTCGGACTCCTGCCGCCCGTCGTCGCAGGCGGCGAGATTGGGCGTGCTACTTACCAGGCTTTTGTGCTTGGCGGTCGACGTTTGGGTTTGGAATCGCTGCTTGGGCAGGAACCTTTGTGACATGGCTGGCGGTGGGTACGGAGCAGTCTTTTTCGTTTCTTGCTCGTCAAGGTGGCACTGCTCTAGGCTCTGTGTGTACGAGGTTCTCAAATTAGTGGGATCCTGGTCAAATGTTTTTGCAAGGCCATTAAAAGTCATGGCGACTGGCAGCTGTTGAGTTGAACGTTTCTGGCGCGGTGGTGGCTTTATGTTCAGCTGCACGTGCTGCACCTTCAAAATCTCATTGGGCGCATTTGAATTATATTCCTCTGGCGCAGGGAGCTCGGTCTCCAACACCTGCTTATCCGTCAGTATGGACACATTTTTGTCATATACCTTGCTGATCTCATCCAGCAAAAAATTTCCTTTACAAATCATGTGCTCGTAGCTTTCGGAGGCAATGTTGCTTTGTTTCGACATTTCTTCTGCTGAGCTTCTTTTGTGGTTCCTTTGAAGAAGCTCTGCTGGCAACCGGTTATCCTCGTAGTTCAATAGAGTTAGGTTTTGGTAACTGGCGTTCAAATATCCGGTACTTGCCACACCCACTACTTTTCTAGCGCGTTGGTTCCAGCTGCAGCTGCGACGAATCCTTGGCAGGCTGTGGCTGGCATCTAAGAAGTTGTCCAGCCCCTCCAGTTCCTCACTGGAGCTGTTGATGTGACAGTTCCTCTGGCTGGAGTGACTGTGACGTGGGCGTCGCCTCCGTCCAAGCTGCTGGAGCTCGTTGAGTGAATGGGTGGGGCCGAGAAGCAATAAACCGTCACAGCTATCGGCGGAACTGCTGCTCCGGTTGATGCTACTGTTTTTGCTGGTGGTGGCCAGAGCTTTGCCGTTTGTCTTAAGTTGTGAATTGTTAATTCCCACAGAGAGCGGACCTCGTGGCTCGCGGATATCTGGCAAACTGTTGTGCAGCCAAGTGAACGAAGCAGACGACGTTGATGCCGATCCGGTCGGCGATGGCAGCGGCGATTCCGATTCGGAACTGGCCCTCTCCGGGGAACTATTTATAGACGACGGAGAGCATGCTAATGCAGCCGTGTCCGCAGTCTGCTCTATTTCGGTCTGACACAAATCATGCCCGTCTTTGAAGTCGCGAGAATGCGGGCCGCCCTCCTCCAGCAGCAGAAGCTCCTCCTCCTCCTCGCAAAGCTTGTCGAAATTCTTTGGTATGGATCTAGACTTTTCCTGCTTTAGCGTTCTTGGCTCGCAGTAGCCTGAGTCTTCGGACAGGTTCTCAGCTGAGCTGGGGGGAATTCGCCGGCAGGAAGCCCCGTCCTGTTTTCCCCTTTCTGTTGCAACAGCATCTACGGGAACAAGACAAGAGCTTAGAAGGCTGTGACCACTGCTATCGCTGGACGAGCTAGAGCTGGAGTAGTTCTCCACATCAGATTTTAGCTCCGCTTCTCGGAGTCGTTTGGAGAGGAATTCCTCCTGCTCCTTATATTCAAAATTGAGATTGTTCAGCTCATAGTATGTCTGATGCAGACGACTATGGTCGCTGGATTCATAACGTTTTAACAGGGACAACGTCGGGGCCGATCCCTTTCTGCTATCTGGACTGCTGTCCCTGGTCCTGGTCCGTGTTGCCGCACCAGACTCGCAGGTGAGCGAGGGCGAACTGTTGCCCAGACTGCTCATACTCTGATGCTGCTCCTGGAGCGTGAGTTGCCGTTCCAAGGACTCAAACTGTACCAGGGAGGAGCTGCGTGATAGGGAGTGGGAGGAGTCCTTGTCGGAATACAAATCTTCGAAGGTTACCCCTCGCTTACTGCCTATACTGCTTCGTTGGCCCTGGCTTCCGTAGCTATCCCGAGCACATGCCTCTAAAGCCAGAAAGCGTTCAAAGCTATTGTGGTACTCGGTATCGTAAGACATAGGGCGGCGCATTTGGACGCTATCCTCGGATATCTGGCTAGAATTTAAGTCATGGCTGCGCCTTGGTCGCTTGGGTGGACAGACAAAATCCCTCTCAGAAACAGCATCGACATCTGCTTAAAAAATTTTAGTATAGGCGAAATAATAGAATTAAAAGTCTGTTAGTTTACCCTTAATCATTTCTATGCGTAAGACTGATCCAGTTTCAGACTCCGCAGAGCTCCAAAGTACCGGCTCTATGCTTACAATCAAACTACTTCGGGCACGTTCCTCATCCTCGCTGGTCTCCTCCAAGATGGGTTCCAACATTTGTCTCGAGCTAGACAGGTAAACAGCATCTGCAAGAGGTTAAGAAGTGATTAAATTATTTAAAGCGTTACACTGGACACCACATAAATTGTTTTTGAATAAAATTTGTTTTACTTCCAGAATAATGTTTCAAATGCTCATGCAACACCTTTATAATATTTAAAAAAATGTATTCGTGAATTTATTAATAAAATGACAAATTCACGAATACCTTTTTTAAAATATAATTAAAACGTATTGATGTCCGAATCATAGGCATTTAATATATGTATATATAATAATAATAATATAATATATAATGTATAATGTATATACCCGTTTAAAAGTATGTAACAGGTAAAAGAAAACGTTTTCGACTAGAACACGTTTGAACAGAACACACTTTTGAAATTTTGCTTAAAAAGTATTATTTTTTGGCCAATTCCTATTGATAGATAAGTTTTGCCACGCCCCCTCCAACGCCGACAAGCCGCCAAAAACATTCACGCCCACACGTTTGAAAAAAGTTGTGATATTTTTTCATTTTTTTTTTTATAATATTTTGTAAATTTGTATAAGTTTGCCAATGAACTTTTAGTAACGCTCACATTACCACCAACAAACCGTCCAAAACTGTCACGAACACACTTTTGAAAAATTTGTAATTTTTTAAAATTTTTATCGCAGTTTTTACCGATAAAATGATGAAATTTCTCGTTCGCACTTCCACTATTTGAGTAACGGGGAACTCAACTATAGCATTCTATCTTGTTTATTATATAATGTTAAAAAGAAATTTTGTGAATCAAATTATTGTTTCGATTTCGGCACTAAAAGGACTTTGTAACAAGTTAAATTATTATTTTTGTTTTATATGCTACCAATTACTGTTACAACTCTTAGATATCAGATATTATTAAAATTGAAGGTGCCATCGGCACTTTTTTCTCACTCTGCTGAAATGTGTTTCTGTTTAATAATTTTAAGATTTGTTTTTCTGACGAACAAAAACAATTATGTTAACATGACATTAAAACACGAATTTTTTAATCTTCACAAAGTAATAATATTTTACTCTCAATATCGCCACACTCACCTTGCTCCTGAAATGTTCCCAGACTGTACCAACTTTGAGGCGTGTGGTCAAGATAGCCGGCAAGATCTAAATGCTCCATTTCATAGATAGGAAATCTATAAGCAATGTCACAACTTAGGGCAACTGAAATGAAAAAAGTTGTACCCATATACCGTTGTCGTTTTATCGCTTTTTGGCATTATCGTATTTAATTGGCAAATGAAAATTGGATTTCATCATTTCGTTTCCATATTCATTATAAAATTGTCGATTTGTTTCAAAGATTTTGTATAGACAAGAGAAGCATCTGCAATAAAAAAAATATTGATTAAACACAAACAAATTTGGGGTTTATTTTTTTAATTATTAGGAAGCTCAATATTTGTAATCGTAAAGTATAACGAAACCATCAATAACTATTATTATTTTTCGCCGTTATACACACACTTGTTAACGAATGGTAGGCTCCACCCAATTAATTCTAATCTCTTTGTTATAACCATGAAAGAAAACCCGAATTCTTACCGATCGTTGGTTTTTGTTATTCATATTTTGATGCTTCTAGATTGAGTCTTTGGCTAAAACCAATTGTTATCCGTAATATGCTTTTTATAATTTCAAAAAGGTCACAAGCTGTTGGTTTTTGAACAACAAGAGTTATGTATGTAAGAATTACAACACTGAATTTTGAAAACTCACTACAAAATTGTTCAATTCAGCAATGATAAGCGTTATCTAACTCGCTAACGAGACGTAGTAAAATGTCAAAAATTAGAGAGTGGATCTTATAGGAAATGTTTGGTGGAGTTCGCTAATATTATTAAGAACATACATATACTAGTGTGTGGAAAGTATGCACGCACAGCTTAACGGTACCGGAAACCCCTTATAACTGTCCCATGCAAAAAAAAAAACCGAAGAATAGTGTAGACCCTGTACCAACCAATGCGTTTGCGGTACGCTTTGGTACTAACGAACGATATGCCCTTGCTCATAGCTTGCGTGCTCATTCTTCATTACTCGTAGAGTAAAAGAGTATACTAGATTCGTTAACGAGGTTAGGTAAAAGTGACGACCTTCCAACCTTTCTTCAACAATTTCAAATATAAAATTTTCTGACGATTATAAAAGCCATGTTTCGTCACAAAAGTTGATATCAAGATATAAGATATATATAGTGGAGATATAAAGAGTTGGAGAATCTAAAGTGTTAGGAAGTTTAATGAGATATACAGGTTTTAATTTCCAATCAAATCTTTAGACTAGTTCCTAAGAAATCCCCAAAAAAGCTTTTTAATTTGTTGTAAATTAAAAAACATCTAAAAACATTCAAACTTTTGAAATGTGTTTATTATTTAAAATTTTTGCACATTTACCATATATTCTGCTGAACCTTTTTCAAAGTCTTGTTATAAAATTTGCGATACCTATCAATTTGCAATTTTTATTTCTTCATGTATATATAGAAATCGGCTTTGCACACTATTCTGGAGCACTTCATCACGACGTGGACTCCCGTCAACAGTGGTATATGTATGTGCTGTACAAAACTTAAGACCCCAGGTGAATAATGATTCAACCACATGGAAACACAGTGTATACGGATAAGATAGTACTTAGAGATAAGATATTTTGTTTGACATTATCGAACTCGATTATTCATTGATAAAACATAGACAAACTTCCTTTATAAAAAAAAACATTTTTAGACATACATAAGCTACAAGTGGGAGTGCAATAAAGAATTTTTTGGAATACCAATAATAATAGGATAGAAAAATAAGAAAATCAAACAAGGAAGAAAGTTAGCTTTGGCAAGACGAAGCTTATGTACCCTAGCAGTAATTATATATTTAACAAGAGATAATGCTATAGTCAAGTATAGTCGACTATCGGATACCCATTACTCAGCTAGTTGAAGTGCGATCAAGAAATTTCCACATTATCTGGAATATCGGTAGAAATAGGGAAACAATAAAATGAAAACAAATTTAAGATTTTTTCAAAAGTTTTTTGAGCGTGATAGTTGTTCGGGCGGTTTGTGGGCGTTAGAGTAGTTTGATGGAAAATCGATAGGAATTTACAAGACTAAAAAATATATGTTTCAAAAGTGTGGGAGGGGCAGTTTTAGGCAGTTTGTGCGCGTGGCAACATCATTTAACAAATTTGTGCTACATCTATGTCTCTGGAATCTGCATGACTAATCTCAACTGTCTAGCTCCTTAGACAGACGGACGGACAGGCTATTCTCGACTCGGCTATTGATTCTGCTCAAGAATATATGTACATACATATATACTTTATATTGTCGGGAACGTGAGCAATATTCGGGCCATGAAACCATTTAAGTAATACTAAGTTTAAAAACTCGATAGATTACCTACTTTTTTTACCTGCATTTGCTTTTAAAGCCTCGAAGTTAGAAAATAGAAATCTTCGAGATTGTTCACTCGCAATTTTTACATACGAATTTTTAAAAAATGTTAGAGTGGGTATGACAAATTAAAACTTCAATACAAATCAGAAAAAATGTGGCCGTTAAGCGGACGTTAGAGAGAACTAATGATACTGTTTAAGCAAAGACATTAGAATAGCAATATGCGTAACAGCCATACATTCTTGGGAATTCCTCGGGAATTCCTCAGGAAAATACCTGTAAATCCAAAAATCTCCCAAAAAACGTGAACAAGTGATACATTTAAATTAAATTTTTATTTTTTCTTAATTTACATTAATTTTTTCCTATTCTTATTTGTATTGTTTTTCACACATGCCAGTGCGTGGGCCAAGGCCTTCTCCGCTGGCCTTCTAATGTGCTTATGCTATCTGTAAAGACAAATATTTAAATATGTAATAGCAAAAAGCAATAGCAACCGCAAAAAGCAACCCGTACAAAAAAAAAATGCGTCACCTAAAAAAAATGTTTTAATTTTGTCGCGTTCAAAACCATATTTTGGCTAAATTGTTATATTTCCTTAAGCGCAATATTTTTAAACCTATATTTTTATTCGGCGCAATTTTAATAAGACTTTCTTTTTCGGGCGACTTTTTCAAACAAATATTTATCTTGTGAGTGGCTTTTTGTTGTGGATTTTTTCGCGCGATTTATTAAAATTTAAATTTGGGGGTACAAATTCACCAAATTGAAAATAAAAGCGCATGAAAACAAACTTAAATAGCGCGGCCCATTTTTAACTTTAATTTCTATTTGGGCGTGGCTAATTTTATAATTATAATAAAATCAACATCCCTATTGCATTCCATTGTATATTTTTTCTGTGTACATTCTGTATATGTCCTTTTAGCATTCATATTTCTTGCGCTTTACATATTATGTACATATATTTAAAGACTTCGCAAAATTATATAGTTTGGAATGCAATTAGCTATGCTTACTTATCAATGCGAAACACTTTACTTACCGGTTTTATATATTTCACGTTGAAAATTTTGCAAACACCACTTGTCACGTTCTACAATTGAATGAAAATAAAAAGGAAAGGGGTGACGGGAAACGATACCGAAAATTCTGACAGGCGCGTGCCAGGGTATTTCCGACCATAATGATCCCATGTAAATAGAATTACATAGGCAAATAATTAACCACGGACGCATTGGCGTTGCCTATAGCGACCTTTTAATTTCTTGCAAAATTAAAAATCCTTAAGTAAACAAATATAAATTAAATAACCCTTAAAAATATATAAATATCCAACCAATTATTGGAATGGTATTCAGAAATCTATACATCGCTTTTTTTTTACTGTTATTTTGTCTCCTCTCATTTTCGGTCAATGCTCTGAACTACTTCGAAAAAAAACAACAAATATGAACTGCGGGCGTAGGCAGCGGCAGAGCCACGACAGAATTCGGCTTGACTTCTGTGTTCGAAACTTTGCTAGAAAAAGCCTGCGAGATATGTTCTTGTTTTTTCGAACTCTCGCGAGGAAAATTACGGGAATATCGCTACTGAAGGGCGATTTTCGGTCCGAAATCAGTTTTGATCTTAGAAACAAATTTGATTAATGCTTTGTTCAATTTAATTTTAATATATATACATACATATATAATAAAACATTATTTGATGCCGTGGCTATTATTTTAGTTTTCTAATATTCTTATTAATATTATCTAATAATCGTTATATTTAAAATATATACATATATTTATTTTCAGTCGTCAATTATTTAAATATTTTTTAACAGGTAGGAATTATTTGTCATTTTTTCATTTATGAGATAGAATGCTGAATTTAATTTTTTTTCCATCAGCTATCAATAAATAATAATAAAATAAACAATAAAATAAATGCAAATATGCAACCTGTTTAGTGCAATATTGAATACTTGAGGCAAGACCAGCGGACATAAGCACCTAAGAATCACTTTTTTGAAATTTTGTTCATGTCGCCAGCTATATATTCAAACGAAAATTGGTCTAGTATACAGTAATTTATGATATTAATTAGGTATTATTATGTACTATTCATTACTATTTCTATGATGTATTCAAAAAATTATCATGTTAAGGCAATGCAAAATTAGAGTCACATGGTGGCTATTGATCAAAAATAATATTGATTTAAAGTACATTAACTTGTAAGTGAAAGGCAATTTTGTTAAATTTACAATACATGCATATGTAGAGCTGCTGGCTCGGACAAAAGAGAGAGCCTGGGAGCCAGCTCTAGAGCCAGCACAAAAAATCGTATGCCGTTACGGATCTTGTTATTCTATTGTCTTTGGTTCAAGAGTATACATTTATGAATTCTTTGTGGAATTCGAAACGCTTCATTCTAGATATTTCAACGAGTATAATTATTTCATTGTTGCTTATCTTCAAATCTTTAAAAGATTAAAATACAAATATTTTTATAAGAACAAAAAAAAAATAAAATAAATATAAAAATTAGATCCTTAAAAGTAGAATAAGCGTTGTATCTTTCCTGCCATTGGATAAAAATTTGAAGGATTGAACTGCATTCGTTGGTTTTGAAATTTTTTCATTATTAGCTTCAAATTTGGATTTGAAATTCACACTTTTTGCATTGTTTAATGCTTGAATTGCCAATTACTACTAGAGCCACAACAATACTGGAATATGGGAAAAAACTCTTCAGTGGCTCCGAAGCGTGAACGAGTGAAAAAAGTCAATGAACTCACGCCTCTTATTTTTCGTTTCTGTTTCCTAGCACCACAAAACAAATATTTTTTTCAGAAAGTACCATCTTTTTATTAAAAGGAATACAAAGAAATCGTAAGATCTCTACTAAAGTAAGCAGCAGGCAGAAAAAAGCCTTTGCTTAAATTTTATAATAATTATATATTTAATAAAAGGCTGGGTTTTACCGAATAAAAAACAATTTATGATTAAAAAATAGATAATTTTTTTCCAAATATTCCAATGGCAACGATATGACATTGTCCCTATGAACGCCTTGATCTCGGAACTTCAGAGATTTCAGAGGCAGAGACAAGTTTGATTCCTAACCGTCTTCCTGTGCTCTCAAATCTCGACAAAATGTAAGGTTACTCCACATGTGTGGGTATGTACATATGTGATAGTTATACCCAAGATGTGCAATCGTTCACAATGAAACAATTGCTTGTACATGCTGGCTTCACATGAAAGGTTGCCAACCTGGAGTCAGATAATAGGTATTGTAAAAAATTGTACATACATTGTACATATGTATGTACATACATATGTATATTAAAAAAATTTTGTTGTGCTGAATATTCGACTAAAATAACTTATAAAAAGAAATGCTTCTTTATGTGAGTGCATTTCATGTTATTTTAATTTATTTTTCGACATTTTTTTACGTATGTGTACGTAAGATTATTTTCGACAAAGAAAATTAAATTAAATAGATTTTTATAGGTTCTACGAAGAAATTTTCATCAGAAGTTAAGCAAGCCTCGCCAGATGCAACGCCAACTCGGTATGTACTAACCAAGGTTTGATTTTAATATATTAATTTTAATGCAATTTTTTGTTCCTGAGCATTAAGTATTTGTTTAATTATTGAACGTGAAATGTTGAAAAATATAAAAAGAATGTAACATGTATGTAAGATAAAAGCGCGATCGATCCTTCTTGATACTGAGATCTGTTTGTCGTGATACGAAGATCGGTTCTTCTCGATACGGAACTCGGTTCTTCTCGATACGGAACTCGGTTCTTCTCGATAGCGATTACAAATTTTCTCAATATCGATAAAAATTATCGATAATCATTTGCAACCTGAGAATGGTTCGATCTCTATCTGAGTATGCTGTGAATGATGCGATCTTGGCTAGGTTTTGAGAACGAAAATACTGAAATCGAGATCGTTAAGAACGGTTTTTTCTCTGAGTGTAGAAAGTTGAGGTTATGCATTATGATTCCAGAGACATAAATGCAGACAAACTGTCACGGCCACAATTTAGAAAAACCTATTGCTTATTTTTCCATTGTATCATTTGTCTTGCAACTTTCTATATAAATATATGCCAACAAAACTGTTAGCCACGACGAAAAACCCTCCAACACTGCCATGCTCGCACTATTAAAAATGTTTTGATTTTTTTATTTTATTATTTGTCTGACTAGTTTCTACCGATTTGCTAAAACAATTTCGAAATTTATCTTTCCAACTCCCACTATCTGAAAACGGTTATCTGATAGTTGTGGAACTTGATTTAAGTTCCTTATCTCTGATTAAGTTCTCTCATGTGTTTTTTCTAATATCGAAACGAATACAAACGAACGAAATTAAACGAGAAAACAATTTTAAGCACGTATAGAGAACGTGTAGTCAAATCTTTCGACTATCCAATGCCCCTTACTCTTCGAAAGGAATGGAATGAAGATGGAATTTTGCTTTCGGCATGTGATCCTGATATATACTTTATATTTCGGAAACGCTACTTTCGACCTACAGATCAGAGGACTCACTTTTTCTTTTCTCTACTTTAGGCCCAGTACTCAGGTAAACTGGCCCAAAAATAATATTGTACTATATTCAGCAATTCTTGGTGGCCAAGATACGGTCTCACAAGGCATCCCAAAATACAAATGTAAACATGGGAATTGTAATTAATATTGAAATAAATGGTATAGTAGCTGCTGTTGCTGAAGCAATAGTTACGAATGATCCAAACTATTTTCAGATTCGATTCAATGTAAACAAATACTACTGTCCAAAGACTTCGCCCAATATTTTGCCACCAACAATGTGCCTCTTTTGTATATGACGTTTTTTGTTTTTCGTGGCCTGAATACCTGAAATTTTAAAGGCGACTTATCTTGGAACACTGTTTTCCGAAAAAGACCCGGATCCGATTATTCTGTACAGCCAAATGACAAAATTTATAATTTTTGATTAAATCTTAATAAAAAAAAAATGTAAAGAAATGTGTAGTTAGTATCATGTTGAACAAAATCTTTCGGTGACAAAACAACGATAATATTTCTTATAATATTATTCATAGGGCAATAAATTTATAAAATGTAGTTTATTTATATTTTAAAATTAATGCTTTAAATAGAATTGCATGAAAACGTTCAGTGGTAAATACATTTGTTGATATGTACATATGTTAAATTTCGACTGGCCCCATCTATATATCATTTTTGTTTTGGACTTCCTAATTAAATATTGGGTTTCAAAATACATCTAAGTTACAAGGGTATAGAAGCGTTTTGTTGCCAAAGTCTGCTTTTTTTCTAGTTATCTGTAATTTTGCCTGCAGATCGGTGACTTTTTGATATGTATAGCACTGTGGACGGCAGTGCATTTTGTCATATGGACATACAATTATGAACCTATCATCGTCCGGTCTAAACGAGTTATCGAAAGTAATCAAAATGTAATATTAATTTTGAAAGTGTAAAGGTGTAAATATTAGAAAATTTGAATTTGTAAGGAGTAGGGGATTACTGTGTATAAGGTAGTTTTAAATATTTTTAAATGACTTAAAAAGTGTTTATGTAACGTGGCATATAAAAACAATATAAAAAGAGAGTTTACAATTTGTCAAGAATAAATTAATTTTCCATCACAACATTAGAAGTTTCATATGTATGTTGGAGGTTTAACCGTCACTACATTTTTTGTTACTACCATGTTATATTTGCTCGATAATATTTTCTTGTAATTAGCAAAAGTAACCCTTTTTGTTTTTTTTTTTTTTTTTTTGTATTTTTGACATAATCTAGGTATTATAGTCTTTTTGTGGAACTGATCAAATTCATGCACGAAAGATGGAATTGGTACAATTATTTTAAAATATGTACATACTTATGTACATTAAATATGTACATACATATGTATGTATTTCAAAATGGAAAGCGGCGAGGGCTGTAAAAGCTTTTTAGTTGCACATGTATGCATACATATGTATACATTACATGGATTGTGTTGTTAATAAGTCGCATATTGTATATCCATACTTCATTTTGTATTTGGGTGTAAAAGAAAACGTACATATGTATGTACACATATATAATAGCAATAGATTGTTCAATAGAAAGATTCCCAACCGGTTGTGCAATATGAAGAGCGCAAGAATGAAATCTTCACGATCTTCTGGTTACTTTTATAAGTTTTTGCAAGGCATAGTATGTTCAGCATGTCTTATTTACAATGAGCTATTTTTTTCTTTCTCTGCTATTCACGTAAACACTTAGATACACTTTTTTGGCAAAAGAGAGACATAAGCACTGTAAGTATATGTATGTGTATCCTATGTACATTTGTATATCCGCAGACGAAATACGTATGTTTGTACTTGTGGCGGCTACAGACACATTGAAAAAGACCGCACGATTGCAAATGGTTAACTCGCAAAGACAACGCTCCGATAGAGACTGAATCGAGCGGAGCAGAGCTGTAAACGTGTCTTAGACTAAACGTGGTCGAGAGAACTGAGATACAGTTGGAGACAGAGAGATCCGTTTAAAGCCATGAGCAAGGCGAACAAAGAAACAGGTTAGACATGCAGACATGTTTCAAGACATCGGGAATCTAAGAAGTATGTCGGCTAGAGAAGGGCGCAAGGAAAATGGCAAATACCGTCTGAGTACTATTTACTATTATGAGTACTATTTAAGCAAAAAAATCGCTGGCAGATACCCGCTTACTCAGCTAGAGGAAGTGCGGACGAGAAATTTAAACATTTTCTGGAATATCGATAGAAATTGGGAAACAGAATAATAAAATGAAAATAAACGTAAAATTTTTTTAAAAGTGTGGAAAAAAACTTTTTTTAAAAGTTTTGGTCGCTTTGTGGGCGTTAGAGTGGAATTCATTGAAGACATGAATATAATATATATCACAACTTTTTTCACTCTCTTTTGAGTGCAAGGTGTTTTCTACAAGTCTAAAGATTCTATTTTGCTGAGAGTAAGAGTCTCTTTCATATTTCGTGAGCAATCACTCTGTAAGCCTTCCCGTGTAAGCTGTAAGCACTCCGTGAAAGTCTCTTGGATGTTTTCCGTAACAAGTATTCTAGAATATTTCTGTTACAATGCTTTTGTTAATGGGTAGTTTAATTTGCAGAATCTTTTTTTGAGTGCTTTTGAATGTTTTCTAAATAAAGAAGAGGAAGTGTTCCCAAAGATTATAAAAACCAAAGTACCGGACTAATAAATATTTAATTTTTTATTTTATTTAACTGCAATAAGTCCGTTTACATTTCCATATCAATATCCGTGTTTATTTATACTGGTAGATGTTTGTCACTGTCAGTACCAAAAAAAAAACACCTGTTTATGCGTAAGTTAGTAAAAATGTAGTTGGCTTACAAAAGCATTTTTTTCATAAAGACTTAACTGGATTAAAAAAAAAAGGGTAAAAATTGACTATGGATAATGGATTAAAAATGAGTAGAGCAAAGTCCACCAATGAAATGTACATCATGATGTAGCTTATTTAATTCTTGTTTAGCTTATTATAATTAAAAATATCCCTTTTTACGTTTTTGGGGGAAATTTTTATTTTTGGGACTTTTTATTTTCCCAAATGCAAAACAATTTTTATTATTATTGTAGGCGCGGTGCCACGTCCACAGTTCTTGGGATACGCAGATTTATGGTATAAATGCAATGCAAAAAAAATAAATCAATGCAAAAAAATAAACTAAATATCTTTCTTCGTTCTGGAGTTATAAAATACAAAAATAAATGAGGGGCGGGCCAAACACACAATTTTTGGTATCATAAAAGAATTGAGCTAGTGTTACCATACACAAACAACATAAACTGAATATCTATCTCCGTTCTGGAGTTAATCATTTTGCCCAGAACAAGTGGCCCATAATGCGTTGGCAGGAATAAATTTGTAAAACAAAACCTCGGTCATTAACAATCGCTCCCGAGGGCAATCCCAATCTGGCCAGCAGGAGCGTCCCGAGCAACCGCGCCTCCAAGCATAAGGAATTTGCCGCTGCGGCACAATATATTGGCGGTCTGCTCCGTGCAATGAGGTTTGCGACCAAACTTTCCCAGGATAACACACAATCCGCATAAACGCAATCGGCGATCAAGGGTGATCAAACGTCAAAATTGTACCAACTTAGAAGTCGTAGGTTTTTATTGTTGTGGAGACGTCGATAGTTTTCCACTTTATATTGCGAGCTGTGGCGTTGGGGGTATTCCGCCTCAGGAGAATAAGACTGAGCGACGCTGCCAAAGAAATAAACTGATCAATCGTCCGCAATCAAAGGCGTAACATGCAGTATCCGCAGACGAATTCACCAACGTGTATTTTTAAAAACAATGAAGTTAAAATATTGGAATTGATTGATAAATACTTTCACTATATAAATTTACTAAATCATTTGGTGAAAAAAGAAAAAAATTTAATAATTTTACTTTGTTATTAATGAGTTTTTCTTTTTTTCTTAAATTTGTAATCTGCCTAATATTAAAAAAATATTATTAATGAGAAAATGCATTCCTTGCTTATTGGTGATATAGTATACCTAAAATATTAGGTACGTGAGGTTATAATATATCAAAAGATTGAAATTATCGATATTATATGTATTTATATTTAATATAATTTTGTATACTCGTTACTCACTTCATTATTTCATTTCCGAGAACTTCATTCTTTTATACTATTATGAGAAAGAGTTTCAGAAGACTGCTTGTAAGCATATAATATTGTAATATCAGAAGTATTTGCAGAGTTTGTCTTGTATCGTTTTGAAGAATATGAACGGCCATAGAATTCTAGGAGCAGGTTATTGAAAAAAAAAAAAAGGCTGAATAGTTTGACCAGTTCGCTGGATAATTGTTCCAACAATATCCAATGAACAGCACAATACAAAAGTTAGCCAGTGAGAGAGGGAATTGGTAGGTAAATAGAAGATGTTTACATTAATCATTCACCGAGGCCTTCAAAAATAGTATAAAAAAAACCGATAAATGAAGTCTCCGCGGTGGAGTCCCGAGAGCAGTTGTTGTTCCGATATGTCAACATGTTGGCCAAAATTTAAAAAATATTCGAATTTTTTTTATTTTATCGCCAATTTCTATCGCGATAAATTTATATTTTCATTCATTCATTACCCTGCTTTCTTTATTTAATGAAATAAGCAATAATGAAAATAGCAATCGTCCGATATATATAACAGGGGGAGCTAGTTAACCTGTAAGCAGGGATCAAGAACCATGATATAAATTTTAAATGACATAAGATGATCGTATTGCGCGTCTGGCGATAACCCTTTTTGCACGCAAAGGTATTGTGGGACAGTGTGGACATACGAACGACGGACTTGCGCGTATTGCGCGTCTGGCGATAACCCTTTTTGCACGCAAAGGTATTGTGGGACAGTGTGGACATACGAACGACGGACTTTACGATTCTATACCCTCTTCAGTGATGATTTATTTTATTCTCGTTATGCTAAAAAGGAACTGCTAAAGAGCTAGAAAAAGCACATGGCTTACGTGCAGCATATTTTTTGATCCATTTTGAATTGCTAAGAACACAAAATATATTTGAAATTTAAATACATTTTTGACAATTGTAAAATTATTTAAATCAAGCATTTTTTGAGCGGCATGGTTTAATCAAATGCTCACTAGCTGGATCCTATATTAGTAACGTTCCAAGAGAACAACTGATCTCGCTCTATACAAATCACGCATCTGTTGTTGAACAGCAATTGCACTAATGTATATATATCAGTTCTTCAAAAAAGTAAATCTATAATACAAACATTACTAATTTACTAATTCTTACTGCTAACATCATCCATTATTATTATTACAATTTTAAAAAACATACTCATCGGATTTTATTACCAAAATCCATCATCACCTTAGCACGAGTATTAATACGAAAAAAACGTTTACACTACGCTTACTCATGTTATTGCATTTTATCAGCGTTAAATAAAAGATTAAAATTAAATAGCAATTAAACTGCGTAGACCAATTTTCAAAAATAAACAAGATAACAATGTCAAAATACCATTAGGTAAAATACCAAAAAAAGCAAAGAAAACTTCATTATTTCCCATAACTAAGCCCTATGCTTAGGTTCGTTATTCGTAAAAAATAGAAACGAAACGAAAGTGTAAGCATCAAAACCACATGTAAATTTTGGTAAATCTCTATTTCGAAGCTAGGGCCCCAAAACGCACATCGGGTATCCACTGTAAAGCGCATAAGATGGAAGTAGACTATTTTTTCCCTTATCTAATTGCCAATAAAGTTATTCCATAATCTCAAAATCACCATGTTCTTGGTGTAAAAGGGGCTTCCTTATATCGATTAAACATCTTGGTTAAACATCTTTGGCGCAGCATGGTAACACTGCAACTGAACATATAAAACGAGGACTGATCCATTTAGAATAAACAGCGCGACGAGGTCCCGCATAGACTGAAAAGCAGTTAGCTTACGGTTCAACACAAATCCTTACCAACGACGCGGTCTTGTACCCGCAGCCTAAATTGCCGCGATGCCGTGCTGGTATTACGACAAAAAGGAGCTGCGGGAGACGCCCTCGATCTTAGACGGAATAAGTTTCGATACGGAGCGCCGGTACCGAAAAGAGGGTGCTCGATTTATCATGGAATGTGGCACCAAGATGGGCTTGGGCCACAACACGATGGCCACCGGTGTTGTATATTTTCACCGATTTTACATGTTTCATTCGTTCCGGAGCTTCCCCCGATACGTGACTGCGTGCTGCTGCCTGTTCTTTGCTGGCAAGGTGGAGGAGACGCCTAAGAAGTGTCGCGACATTATTAAAACTGCTCGTGGCATCCTTACCGACAACTACTTCTACTCGTTTGGCGACGACCCTAAAGAGGAGGTGATGACGCTTGAGCGCATTCTGCTGCAGACCATCAAATTCGATTTGCAGGTAGAGCATCCATACACCTTTCTTCTAAAATACGCTAAGTGTTTCAAAGGCGACCAGCAGAAGCTGCAGAAGATGGTTCAAATGGCGTGGAACTTTGTCAACGACTCTCTCAGCACCGTAGTCTGTCTACAGTGGGAGCCGGAGATTATCGCCGTGGCTCTTATCCATTTGGCCAGCAAGCTAAGCAAATTCACTGTGCAAGACTGGGAAGGCCGCCAGCCACAGCACCAGCGTTGGTGGGACATGTTTGTGTCTGATGTGACAATGGAAATACTCGAGGACATCTGCCACCAAGTTCTAGACCTATACCAATCAACTCAAAAAGAAGCGCACCAGCCGAGCAGTCCGCCCCAAAAACCGCCAAGCAGGGCCGACAGTCCAAAAGCCGTCAAGCTTTCCAATTCGACAGGTATTGGTCCACCTTCCGTTCCACAACAGCCGCCGTCCCCAGCATGTGGCAACGGGGGGGTACTGGAAGTTAGCAACATTCAGAGCATTAAGTCCATAGCCAGTGGCGTGCCAATCATAGGTTCTAGCGACTCCCAGAATATGTTACAGGGCCCAACTCCTCCTGGCCAGCCTCCCGGCTACCACCTTTATCATGCACCGCCACCGCCGCCCCCGCCGGTTGTGCCTATGGCGACCTACCCCTCTTCCGGATGGGGAGTTCAGCAGACAGTGGCCGGACACTATAGCGGAAGTGCTGCACCACCACCGCCAATGCCGCCCAGCCTGCCACCAGGAAGCAGTGGCTACTACAGCACAGGCGTGCGTCCATCGCAGCAGCGGTACCAGTAGAGATGCATGATGGATGCAATGACGAATAAATAAGTAAAGAATAATTTTTATATTAGTACTAACAGACCGTTCGGAGTAGGATGTAGAGGTGAGATCTGTGTTTGGAATTTTTTTTTTACTAGACTCTATACTCAATTTTGTTCGAGACTGTAGCGTAACATTCTCGATTGCTTTTCTCTGATTTCTATTCCTTGTGCAGAGTTGCTTACCCTTACCCTTTTATATGTACATTATTGAACTGAAACTGAAAAAAAACTGAATAAAACCAATTTAATTAAAAACAAATATTTTAAATGAGATTCTCTAATTTAAATTTTATTATCATGTTAATATAGAAATCAAATTTGACCCTAACATGTGCCAATGAACGACGCGTTGCGACAAAGCGAACCCGGAACCCGTGCGTTACGGCAAATAAAAGTGTACATAAGACCTTTTTTTTTTGAATTCAACAAATATGTGCACAAATTTTGAAAGCCCCACTTTCCAACAGGTCATAAATCCCATTATGCCTTTGTGTTCATTCCTACATAACCCGGATATAAATATTATAGAGCAAGTTGTAAGATCTTAGAATTGCTAGTCAAAAAATTATATTTTAGTCAGATATGTGTTAATAACTTACTTAACTATACGGAATTCCATCATATTGTAATGTTACGGTACATTTTAATATTTGCCTTTTCAACGAAATATAAAAAACCGGATTTTAAAAAATGATTTTAACAAACAATCCTTGCGTTTGAACAACTTTTTTGAACTTGATTGAACTCATTTTTTATTTTTTTCCCCACTTTTTACCGATATTTCAGAAAATTTTAAAATTTCTCGTTTGCACTTCCACTAGCTGAGTAACGGGTATCTGATAGTCGGGGAACTTCACTATAACATTCTATCTTGTTTTTTACTCTTTAAATAACGGCTATAAAAATAAGATGTTTTTTGATTATTCCCGCGTTTATGGACTTCCAAATGTTAGTTTATCAGAATTTGATTAAATTTGTATTTTCAGGAAATATTTCATTTATGACAAAAAAATTTGCAAGTTTAAAATTATTTTCTTTAATTTGCGGAGTACTACTAAAACTTTGATTTAAGTTGCTTAAATGCATTCAAAATTTCATTTTTGATCTAAACATTAAAAAATTGGTTTTTTAAAAATGTAGAAAGCTGGAACTTGTTGTAGCTAGCAGATCAAGCACTGATTCTAAGTATCGGCCAACGTTGTCCGTCTTGAGGAATTAGAAAATAAAAATTCCCGTCAAATTGTCCCGTATAGTCTAGAAAATTAATCTTACTATTGCCAAACTTTCCTTTCCATATAGTTCCTAATATCAAAACAACGCTCGTACTCTAACCCTCCATCATTATATTTCTTACTTGTTACGATTATATCGAACAAACGGTACATGAGTAAATACATAATGATCATTCTGACATTCTTTTAATTTAAAATACGTTTTGTTTGCCCTGAAAGCGAAATGTCCTATATTTTAGTTGTTATTGGTCACAACAGATGTGATTTCTTAGGAATTCTTTAATCATGCGATTCCTGAACATAAAAATAATTATTATCAAAACTCATCATAACAAAAAAAAAATATTAAACCGTTTGGGATTACCTTTTTTTTTTTTGTTTTTGAGATTTGTTTACTCTTTCTTTCGAGCGTTGTCCATAGTGTTGTTTGGTTGTTATTGTATGCTCATTTACAATACAAATTACAAATACAACCATAACACGAACTGACAAGAACATGGGACAACGAACCAACAACGGAAACTACAACAACAATACCATGAGAAACCAAAAACAACAAAATAACTATAGAAATTAAGCAAAAACAGCGAAAAAACAGGGAAGCCGTAGAGATATTCCAATTACCCACGACAAGAACACACATAAAATTATTTATCGGACTCCTAAGTTACTGAAAGAAAGAAAACTGCGAGATTTCGGAAGTCTATAAAAATGTCAGGAAAATCAAAAGCGACCAAGGAGCGAAGTTTAACTCTGTTCTCTTCAAAGACATCTGTAAGCAATTTAGCATTTACTTATATTTCACATCATTCCAACAATCAACAGTAGAACGGTTGCACTCAACGCTTAATAGAACCAATAGGATTATTTACAAAGTCAGGAAAGACCAGACGAAATTATGGCAGAAACGTTAATAAGATACAATTATTCACAGGAAAGACACACATTTTTAATAGAACATTCGAATATTCAGACGAACATGATTATTTACAAAAACTTAACGAATTTAAAATAAAATTATACACCCAAGTACAGACAGAAATGACAGTAAAGACCAAAGAAAGAATACAGAAACTGAATGGAACAAAAACAGACCCAATACCGTTAACAGCAGAATTTAGAAAAAGAACCGAAGAAATAAAATAACACCAAGATTTTCAAAACACATAGTTAGAGCAGATCACGGAAAACATTGAATCAAAGAAAGGACAAAAAGTCCATAAAGAAAAATAAAAATTAAAGATAGGCAAACAGTTTAGTAAGTCGAAAAAAAAGAATAATATATTAATAAGTACAAGCAAATGAGCATGCACAAATGCTATAAGTCACGCACTCATCGTACTCAATTTCCAGAAAACACAACACGAGTATATTACATTTATATCATCGAGAATAGACGTGTTTTCACTTAATAGTTTCGCAGACTAGATATGTATTTAATTGAAACAGCGTTACCCTTCAAGCCACGGTTTGTAACTCGCGCACCGTGACGGAGGTGGACTTACATTCCGATCTAGACAGCTATTAAATATGGTGCCGTTATAACTTACTAAACTTAAATGGCTTTAGACTTTCTAGGATCAATGTAAGTAATAATGTAAGTATACAGCGCAAATCGTGAGGTTGTAGAGTGATCTCAGTCTAATATATGAGAATATGTGAATTATTTGGTACCAATGTACTCAAAACAATTGTATAGTACATTTATTTCAAGGGTATTCCCAAAAGTTGCAGTATAGATTTATTTTTTCTTAGATATGTTCCACGAAGCATTCATATTAGAAGGTAACCGATTTGTTTAAGAGTTTCAAAGAAATGTTAAGTTATGGTGTGGGGCAGTTTCTTAATTACTTTCTTTCTAGGTAAAGCTCGATTATTAAATCATTTAAATACACTTAAGCATCGTCGGCGAGCCGTGAGAACAGTTGTATCCCCTTGTATATCGCTAACAGGAAGAATTTGTAAGAGAGGTTCCCAGGCAAGAGTAAACACAGGTCGAATATATTTAGACGTTATAATTAATCATTAATTTACAGGCGTGTGTGTATGTGTATATGTTAAAAATAAATAGCGCGTTAGACCGAAGGTGGGTGTTCTATCTCTCCGTCGTATGCACTCCCCACAAACGAGCGAGCGATCAGGTGATCGGCGCTCTCCCGCACATTGGGATAAGCAGCAAACTGGATAGGCCACCCGCCAATGTTAGACCTAGCATCCTTGTCCCGTTGGTGACGGCTGGGAATAGGATGGGCGAGGGTTTGTTTTTGCTCAAAACAGGCCTGACTTTGGGTGCAACTTGTACCTTTTTGTATACTGGGCATCCTCTATATGACGCGGGGTGATCGGCTTGGCTTGTGAAGGCAGCGTGCTTTCTCTTCCTCCTTTTTTTGAGTACTCTTCCGAGTCGTGAAAGCCTTCACATTTCAGGCAGCGAAATTCCTGGATGCCGTATCGCTGGGTATGTCCAAATCCATGACAACTGAAGCTTTGATACAGTTTTTCATAGTACCGATTTCAATTACTTCCTCTAGCTTTAAGGCTTTGGTTTGGCTACCCTTAAGATGTTTCTTGTTTGGTGATCTGTGATGCTGCCACTCCCTTCGTAGTCGTCGTTTTTCAAGCAACAGCTGTTCATAATGTCGGCTTGTTTTGTTGTGTTTTAATAAAGCGTGTGTTTCTGGTGGCGTGTGTTTGCAGCTTCAACTAGTGCTCACCAAATTATACCAGCCAATTTATAAATATCCGCATTATGTAGATGGTTCAGTCTGGGTGAATATAATTTCTTGTACCTTGTTCAGTTGGTTGTATAGCTTGTAATCTTATAAATTCGTTCCATTTGTGGCGTTTGCATAAGCTTAAGTAAGACTGGAGAGTTATCAAATGCTAAATCTGGAAGTGACTCACCAGATATTAGAATTCGAGGAATCCTTTTAGTGATAGCAAAATCAATTAGGTCTGGTAGCTTTTTTTGGATCTGCTGCTCAAAATGTGCACACGTGGAAAAATGTAGTCCAGCTTATTTTGCGCCTTGATGATCACATTGTGTGCTTAGCGTTGAGTGCAAGTACAGGCTTATGCTGCAAACGCCGCTGGCATTCCCTTTTATATATTGTTATATATATTAAAAGATGCACTATTAAAGATGCACTTTGCCGGAGTCCCAGGTTCCAACCTTTTTCGGTTGCTAGGCCGCTTTCCTGCACCTCGATTTGTGGGGACTTTTAAGACGCCCTTCTCCAGCCTCCTCTCGTTGACCATCACCTTCTTGATCTCAGCCTTGTTTTCTCAGCCTAGTAGCCGACAAGTTTAGCGGCTCGACGTGGCATCTCGATCCTCGCGCTCTGCTCCAGTCTCCCATCTACTGCGGCTGTTTGCTTCTCATCACAAGTGCTGTATTTGAACTTCACGCCGTCGGCGCGACCCCGAGGCCATTCCGCGTCCTCCCTGCTTTGTTTGTCGCACGTGACGGTAAGACATCCTGGCCCTCAAACCACCTCATCATCTTCCGACGACACCTCCGGGGTGACTGTCTCCCCCCTCATCATCTTCGCTCCCGGAGGAGAGCGTGCCGTGCCACCGGGTGTGCTGGTTCTCGACGTCCGGGATCTACTTCGGCAGTACCGGGGATGGAGATCGCGACACCAGGGGTGACGCCAGGAATTGGCTAATTGGATAGGAATCGGTATCCGTCTAAAGACAGACTTGAGTTATCCTCTTCGCGACGAAACCCCGGTTTTCTTGCCTGCTCCTTGCTTGCTGTTTCGATACCGCTTCACCAAGCGGGTTCTGCTGCCTCTGTTTTAGCATTCAATTTCTTCTAGCCTGTTGGCGCCCGCACTCCCTGGCTTCAAGTCGCTGATGTTAGCCGTCTTTATCTTCCTGGTCGCCGCGTGCCCCAGCATACAAATCACTGGTGACTTGAATTTTTGTATCCTGAGAGGTCCGCCGAACCTCCGTGCCAACTTCGCCGCAATGCCTTCGACTGCATTTAACAGATGGTGCTCCAGATGGTGCTTGGGTTTCCAGG